GCTGCAATGGGCCGTGGCGAAACTCTTGCCAGATGTGGTTGATGAACTTTTTAATCACGGGGCTGATATATCTAGCTTCGTTTTTCCCACCGAGACTTGTTTTGCCGAGAGATCATCGACACCAGAGTCTTATGAACTAGCATCTAGGGTTATGGCTGTTGTCGAACGACTTGAAAAACAAGGATACGAACTGAACCGAAGCGACGCCACGACGATCATTAAATTGTTCGTTAAATACGAATTGTTCAAGGAATCAGCGGATCTTGAAAACGATTGCTACGAAGACGGGGAATTCACGGAAGTGGCGAAAACATTGATGATGAATTCGAGTCTGTCACTCTACGATTTGATTCGGTTAAGACCCGGAGAGGCGGCGAAACAACTCACGTGTATGGATTACTACAAGTTCTGTCGCTCGGGTGAATTTTTAAAGCTTTCCTTAAGATCTCGCCATGCGAGTATGGCGACCCTGTGCAAGAAAATGACGAGGAGATTTTTACGGAGTTGGGCACTGGATTCTTTGAGGAAGCTGATACACTGCAAGCTGCCAGTCGAGGTCTGTGATATAATCATCAATGAATCATTTACGAACAAAGATTTGTTGAATATTTGCTTGACAACTATAAAACTATGATGATGATTATACTTAAAGTATTTTTTCATGTATTGCGCTATTCAATGTTGTATATTTCCCAAATTGTTTAAATAAATTAATTAAAACAAAACAAAAAATGAAGTAATTAATTTTCTAAGATTGAAATTTTTTATGTTTTTTCCCAAATTGAAGTTGACACCTAATTTGATAATGCGAATCATTGTCACGTTCGCACATTTTATCTAACACAAATGAAAAACTCATAAAAACCAATAACTTTAACGCATCAAGCAAGAACATAATTGAGCTCGATTCAACAAGGCATTACACCTGAACAGATAACGCATTTCACGCGGGCATCTTGTACGTATTATAAGCTCTGTACTCTCTGTTGAAAAATGCAACGTGCACAACGAGTCGAGTTTCGTTGAAATTCGCATCGCCAAGCGTCTCACCCAACTCCATACCCTATTACTAATGCACGATAGCAGCAGGAGCAGCATCGGCAACATCTAAGACAGAGTCAACTTGGTTCGACAAAAATCACGATCGCAAGTACTTTACCGCCCTTTCGCTCCGGAGTTTTCTCCGAAGTTGCCTCGAAAAAGCTCTCTCTTTCGCGCGCGCGTCTATTAAAAGCTCCGACGACGGAACCGAGGAAGAGCTTGCGCGCACGATCCTCCTTCGCGCGCAAGTGGATAATTACTTTCGGCTCGTTTCTGTTTTTTCCTTGCTTCTCTTCTTTCGTTTTTTTTTTGTTTCGTCGCACTCGCTTCTTAAGTTGAATAAGCTACGGACCCGCAGCTCGTTAGCATCCGCATTTGTATTTAAGTCTCTCTCTCTCTCTCTCACTCTCTTTCTCGAGTTGTTACAGTGATTTGTAGCATCAACGGCAGATCAGTAGCTTTTAATAAAAACGAGGCACGCTATCGTCGATGGATAAATGGGCAATAACCACGACGCAGGTACTACACGTAACGAAGTGCGAAGCGCTTGATAAGCAGAGATCGTCGTCATTTCGACGGCGCTTAAAATTAAAGGAAAGAGACGCGTGGTGGTTACGCGCGTATAGTATAGTAGTCTAGTGAGGGGCGGCTCGATGTTGTAGAGTCAGGAAAATTGCCACCGCCGCCGCCCGACTTCGACAGGGGGTCGGGGGCACGTGTAATGCGATTCGCCTCTTCGCTGTGAGGAACGAACGACAACAGCTGCGGTAGCTTAATCCAACCATTAAAACTTACTCTCTCTCTCTCTCTCTGTCTCTCTCCCTCTCTCGACTTTTTCCAGGCGCGACAATTTAGGTACATAATGCACGCAAGCAGCTCGCTGCTGCTGCTGCATGAGATGGTATGCATAATTAGAAAAAGAGAGAGGGCCAACCCTTGCCTTGTAATAGCACGAGCTGCTTGCTCGTTTTGCCTTATATATGTATATTCGTGCATGAATTCGTTATTATGAAAAGAAATGAGTTGTCGCGCACGAGTCCAAGGTGTATACGTACACAACGAGGCGGTGTACATAACACGCACGGGAACCGGAAGCAGAGCGGCACACAACGCATATTATAATAGGAAGTGAAAAACGCGCCTAATTTTTTTACTCGTTCCCGCTCGGCGTGCGCGCGCGTTAACCCAATGAAAAACGAGCTTGTGGAGCGCGCGCGTATGAAACGAGTCTCTCTCACTGTGTTTACATAGTTTTTTCCTTCTTCTATTTTTTTTTTGCTTATAACTTCTATCCTATATAATAAAGTAGTAGCCGAGGTTCGATTCAGGCTGGCCCTTTAATCTCGCTCTCTCTCTCTCTCTCCGCTTTACCGAGAGTAGAGGATCGAGCGCCTAAAAGATTGCCGTTAGCCCTTGGCGGCAGCAATAGCATAGCAAAAAGGAGCAAGAAGAAGCAGAAAATATAAAAAAAATCAATGCTTCGCGGTGTAAAAAGAGCATTATAGAATGGAGTAGATTTATAAGATATATAATACAGGAATACGGTAGACGTTATATGCCGTGGGTCGTAATCGAAGGCAAGTCGTTGCTGTATTTGCCTCCTTGCGAGAGTCGAGTCGAGCAAGAGAGAGAGTAAGCTTAAACTGGCGTCCCTTTGGGTGGTGGTGGAGCTGCTTTTGCCCCTTGCGTAGTATAGTCAAACTACGCGTAGCTCTCGTGTATATAGCCCTTATACATATACGCACGCCAAATACAGGCAGGCAGGCATGGCATGGCATGGCATGGCAGACACATACACACGCGCACACGACGACGAGTTGGCAGGATACTCGACTACACACTCGGAAGCCTTACTACCCTTGCAGTAGGTATACGCGCGACTCGGGGTGTGTGTATAGCTTATGCCTGCCACTACTGCTTGCCTGCCAGGCTATATACGAGAGTCGTGGCGGTGGAGGGCCTCCTACTGCTGCTCCGGCTGAACACGGCCGCCAGCCGATCGATTTCCTACTCGCGTAACTCGCTCTCTCGCTCGCTCTTTCGGAACACAGGACTCTCTCTCTCTCTCTCGTTCTCTGTACACTGCTGCGGATGTATGTATATATACGTATACAAATAAGCATAGCCCTGCGTGCCAAGAGCAGCGATTTATGCATTATATGTGCGAATGCACGTTGGAGTGCTGCGGCGCGCATACCGAGGAGAGAGATCTGTATACATATATACGTGTGTACACAGCGCACATTGCCAAGTGCAATTGTGTGTCTCCAATATTCGCCGCCGCGGCTCGCAGGCCAGGTATTACAGCATTATGACGTTAAATGCATATAATGTACTCGGGAATCTCTCGTAGCGAGGCAGCCACGTATGTGTGTACGTATTATAACGAGAGTATGCTCTGCGTTAGTAGAGTTGCGGACGTTGCGGCTAAAGAGAGTTGCCACTGCGCTATTACTATTATATGGCGTGCCCGCGAAAGTGCGAGAGTATAAAAAGGTAAAAACAAACAAACGCAAAAATGGAAGGAAGGAAGGAAGGGAAGTAGGAAAAAACAGGAGAAAAGAGAGCGGCTTCTCTTTATAACCTACAAAAAAGGAAAGGAGGTGTGCTGCGCGCTTCTTTCTTACTCGGCAAAGTCGACGGCGGTATACAGCGGCTGAGGCTGACGCGAAAGCAGCAGCTCGCGCGAATCGCGGCTATACCGTTGCTGCTTTTCAACCTTACTTCCTTATACTTTATCCCGTATATATAATGCTCGTCGTTGTATGTACGATGAAGCGATTATAATTCAAGAAAAAAAAAAAGAAAAGAAAACACAAAACCATTCGTCGGCAGATCTTTGAATAATTAAAGAAAAAAACAAAGAAAAGAAAGAAAACGAGTAAAGAGTCAATTTGCGCATCGACGTTTATTGGTCGCAATTACACCTTATACACATCGCATCAATGGTACGTCGAAAGCTTGCGCGCCTACCGTACATAACGGACAAATGCATGTATCATGCCCCATTGGCATGCGATGTGTGTGTTTACCTCGTGTGATGGAGCAGACGCTCTACATCATGATTGAATATAGACAACAAGAGAGACCGAGAGAGCGACAGAGTCGTCGCGCTGCCGCCACCAACACGATGCCGTGCTTACACCCGTTCCTTCCTCGTGTTTCTCTCCATATCGCTATATTATATGGTTTTAAATACATACGGTTTCGCACAGATGCGCGCCACGAAATACAAATAAACCAAACTTCTCGTACATACCGTATATATAATACAAACGAAGAAGCGGAGACGGAAAAGCGAGAGGGAGAGAATGAGAGAGAGAGATACACGACGATAATATTGAAATGGAATTTTAGCGACTGCACTATAATCTGCAAACTCCTCTTCTCTCTCGTTTTTTTTATTATTATTTTTTATTCTCTCTCTCTCTCTCTCTCGCAGATCTCTGACTCGGTCGGTGTTTATATAGGATAGGTATGCCGCTACTGCAAGTCGAAGGCAACTCAACGCTACTCTATACAAGCATGCATACACACACACATAGATTCATGAAATATCTGCGGTGTGCAGATATACGTATACATGCAAGAGCGCAGAGTAGAGCCGAACGCACACACACTTGCGGATGCAAGCAATGCACTCTCGGGTACAGAGAACGAGCGAGCAAGAGAGAGAGAAAATCTCAGCTCATATAGCTATATACGCTACTTTGTAAGTTACAACACACATGCAGAGAGTCGCGCACTCATACGTATATAAGCAAATGCGCGTAAGTATCGCGTACGTATACGCATTACATACATATAAATGCACATAAGAGATAATAGAGTATTCGCGCAGACGGTATTTGCGCGCGCGAGCGAGAGAGAGAGAGATCCAGCGGCAGCAGCAACAGTGCTGTATTAGCAGTATCTATTAGTAGCGTACAACGTGAACAGAGAGAGATAGAGTAATATACCTTTATATACCACTAGTACGTGTAGTCGCTCAGCTCTCCGTGCTGCTTGGTGCTCTCTATGTGTGTGTGTGTGTGTGTGTGTGTGTGTGTGTGTGTGTGCACCAGCCGCGCAATGTGGTGTGCAGACCTCTCTTATTCGCCTCCTCCTCCTCCTCTGTATGTATGTATGCTGCTTGTGTATATAGAGGCGCAGAGAGGAACAGAAAGCCGCAGCCTCCTTATCGTCTTTTCGCACACTCGCAGCGCACACTGGGGCCTCTATCCTGGCTTATATATGTATATTCTTGGGTGCGTGCACGAGTTTAATATATACACAAAAGAACGAGCACACTTGCTAACTAACTATCTACCTGTATGCAATTCGCGCAAATATAAGCCTCTGTGCGCTACATGCGCTATTTGATACGCTGGTAGTAGTAGTAGTAGTAGTATTGGAGCACGCACGGCACGGCACGGCACAACAGCACAGTAGTTGTTGTAGTTGGAGTCGGAGTCGCCGTCACAAACACATACACACACGCGCACTGACGAAATTTTTCGCTATGTATGTATTAACACTTCACGAACACACGAGGAATATAGATATAGGCACTCGCGACGACGACGACGTATACTTTTTTTTGCGCCGAAGGCTCTCCTCCTCGCGGACGGCAAGCAAGCAGGCGCGCGCGCGCTGCACTCGCACGCACTTTCGACTGCACACAAACACACACCGAGGAGTGCAGCGCAGCAGCACACTTATACAACACCGACGACGAACACGCACCGACACTCACACACACTCGCGGAAGATGAAGTGCTGCTGCTGATCGTCGCTCAAAGACGAGATTTACCGCAAGGAAACTACTTTGACGTTATACCGCGGCTTGTTGTGTTTTGATGTCAGACTCCTCTTGTATACAAAACGATCGGAGCGTTGACTGCTGCGTTTTTAGGCGTAAAGGCCAGAAGCAGCAGGCATCATCATTCCAGCATGTATACAACACACGTATACGGCATACACATAGGGAGCGCCGCGCGATGACGGGCGCAGCCCTTGCACTCGCTTCTCTCTCTCTCTCACTCTTATACTCGAGGCAGCACCAAGCTGCTGCTGTACTCGCGACACTCACACATGAAAACGCGCACCTATACAAACGCACACAGAGGCTGTGTGCAGTCCTGCTGAGCGTCGCGGCCGCTGGTACGCCGCCGCCGTAGAGTAGTCTGCACCGCCGCCACTCGTGCGATCTCTGCACAATATAATCCAGTCGGTCGTGCACTACACAGAATCTGCGCTGCTGCTGCACGGCTACATATGCACTCGCGGTAAGTAGTAATAATCACACGGACGACGACGACGACGACTACTCACACACACACACACGCGAACGCAGCAAACTCGGACTCCGCTGCGCGAATCTTTATGTATGTGTGTGTGTGTGTATGTGCGTGTGAGAGAGAGACTCGGCGCGCGTAATACGGCACGCCACTAGTCGCCACTGTACCGTGTTATATATAGGCAGAGAGCGCAGTACACAGCTATCGTTATATATATACAGTATATAACTATATATATAGTCGTAGTACCTATATACACAGACGTAAATATGTATATATCTTGCAAGCAGCGACACACACATACACACAATACACTTCGCGAATTCACTTGCTGCTGCAGCTCCGAGAGAGAGAGAGATTCTTGAACCTCAGCACAGATATTATTATTATCTTCACGTCAAATGCACGTAAACAGCGCACTAGAATCAGTCACAGAAACGAATTTTCACTTCAATTTTCTACGACATAACACGCGCAACGGCTATGTGTTCATTTTTTGCGCGAAATGCAGCGCGTGCATCTACAAATATAATATGCGAATATAATGTACACATACACTGTGACGCGCGCGGCTGCGACTGCTGCTGCTACTCGCTCCGGCAGCTGGTCGGTCGCTACTGCAGAGTTTTGCAGACTGCCGTTGTGGCCTGTGCTGCTGCTGCTGCTGCTGCTGCTGCTGCTCCGCTGCTATCGTTTCGCGGAGTCGCGAACTGCCAGCGCGACGACGTTTCTGCACGGCACGCAACGAAGCTAAAATGTCCAAGTGTGTGTGAGTGTACGAGAGAGAAGCGAATAGTATACAATCTCGACACTCGCGCAGCAGCAGCACGAGTCAGGCTGGGCAACCGCGCGTATGTACCTTATACTCGTCCACCCATATAGATATACCGATACGCTTATAGTCGTATGCGCGTGTACGTGTGTATTGTATGTATACCGCTATTCGGCGGATTCGGCTACTACGTTTGCATACCTATACATGGCTCTACAGGCCAAGGGCTTGTCTGTGTGCGTGTATGAGCGCAATGCACATATTATATTCGCGCAGTACTCTCGGTGCGCAGCCATTTTATACCCGCACGCTTCCCGTTGAGCCGATTTTCCGGACGTTATTTGCGAATTTCGTTCAGCTTCAACGTGTTAAAATTAATTATGCTCCTTTCTTCAACTCCTTTTCTTTGGACTTTTAGCTCAACCGCTAGTCCGCTACCGTTGTGAGTTGTATATCATTGCGCGCGTTGAAAATTTCGCGACTGCAGAAAAACTGCACGCTGGCGCCCTCGGACAGTGTCAACACGAGCGAGCGAGGAGCCGAGAGAAACTACAGCATGCTTATAGCGGAGTTATTTAAATGCCACGCGTTTACGGCCGCGATGCAGACACGCATGTCCAAAGATCGGAGGACTGTGTATACGAGACACACACTGACACACCCACACCAATACACACGCACATGCGCTCGGTCTCTCGAGGTCGTTGTAACGCGCTGTCACAAAAGCTCATGCGAAACGTCACTCGAGCGAAGCTCGCAAGTCCAACTTATTGTTGTCGACATTATCGTAATGCAGTTTCATAAACGTCGGTCCGAGAGAAAACTGAATTACCCGCTGCAAGCTCCGTGTAATTACGATTACGCTCCTTACTCCGAGTGTGTATGCGTGCGTGTATACGTATGTAGTCTGCGCTTGACACCTGCGCGCGTCCTGCCACGCGATGACGCTCGCGCACATGCAGCACGACTCGCGAGAGCATACGCCCGACGCGTTTTTCTCTCGTTTCGCGTCGCTGTGGTGGCAGGCCTGCCCGTCTGCCGTGTATACACATTCGCTACAGCGTTTTTGTTTTGATTCGGCGGTGCGGCGCGTCGCGCACACGTTTATAATATAGATGACAGAGAGACGTCAGCCACCGCCGCGTGCGGCTGTCTCTCGCGGCGTACATGTATACAAACACATGTATTACATATAGTAGTATAGAGCTGCCAAAACAATCAAACGTCTATATTGGAGCAGACGATAGCTTTCACCTATATATAATGTAATGTGTCACAGAGTACACCGATTCTCGTTTCGGAGCGCTCGAAGCGGCGATCCTATAACACACGTGATCCACTCTATGCGTATGAATATTTTGAATGGGATTTCAGAGCAGAGTTTGGACATTGGCAAATAAGTTGGATAAAAAATTATTACCATCAAAATTTTTTTTTAAATATCAACAAGTTATAACAATTTATTTGAAACGTATAAAAAAATATGAAATATTTGTGTTTATAAATCACATTAAAGTGGAATGAATGTAAACATTTTTTTTTTTTCATCAAAAAAGTATTAAAAAAATAGAAATAAATTACTTGAATCCCAGCAGTATCGCCGGTACGACATCGCCCTTTTTCAATTCCCTTTTCTCTTCTGTCCTCGGGGGCAGCTTCAGCAAGGCGTTGGCGCGTCGGCAGCTCAGCAATTTGCTGCTAATTTGATTTCCAGTGCTGTAGGCGTTGGGGCGAGGATCTTCGTCCGTCCAGACCAAATTCACCCGAGCGAATTCTGGACGTGGGTCCAGCAAGTATCTACTCGTCAGCTATAATAATACATGACCGATGTAGGTATCAGTAAAAGAGGCTGTTGATAAAAAAAATGATCAGTTACGAAAAAATCGTCGCGTTTTTACCTTGGCTTGGACCTCGACGGGTTTCTCTTTGTTCCCGGTCAAATGATTCAAGAGCGGAATTACGTACAGATGGGCCGTGACCATGGCCGAAACCGGATTGCCTGGTAAACACAAGAAGTACTTTTTGCGGCCCAAATAGTGACAAGTGGCATAAGTCGTCGGCTTGCCGGGTTTCAAATTCACGCGACCTGCAACACACGAGCCGCGCGTGATTATTCATCTCGGAATCCAGTCCAAAAATAACGATGACGCTTACCGAAATGAATTTTTGCGTTGAAACGCTTTTCGAGCATTGGTTTTAGCATGTCTCTGTCGCCCATCGACACCGACCCCGTCGTAACGATAACGTCGGCGTTACCCAGAGCCCCCTCGAGCGCTAGGAACATGTCGTTCTCTCTGTGCAAAATAATTCGTACCCATCAAAAAAATAATTAGCAAAAAATTCATCGGATTTTTGTTCCAATCGATGCGTACTCGTCTTTGGCGATGCCCAAATCCAGCGCTTCGTAGCCGTTCTCCTTCAGCATCATCATCAGGGTGATTTTGTTGCTGTCGTAGACGTGTCCGGGTATAGCCGGCTCACCGGCTTTCTGCAGCTCGTTGCCGGTCGAGAGCACGCCGATTTTCGGCATCGAGGTCACGGCTACTTGGGAGACACCACAAGCAGCGAGGATACCCATCTCCACGGCACCGATTTTAGTGCCCGCCTCCAGCACCGCGTCGCCTTTGCTAATATCGAGTCCGATCGGTCTGGAATGTATTTTTTCGGTAGTTGTTTTGTTGATTTTTTGAAATAAGGTATATTGTTTTTCAAGAGTGAAGCAAGAAATATACCTGATATCTTGGCCCACGACGGGCTCTGTTAGTATTTCAATTTCCAGCTCTTCATTTCCATCCGGCGTTGCTTGTGACAATATGGTATCTTCAACTTGTACAACAGCGTCAGCATCTGTTAATATTTTAATACAAAAACTCAATATAATTTCAAGAAGAATGTTATTTTAACAATAAATTAAATAGGTTTCAGTATACCATGAGGTACAGGTGCTCCAGTATTTATTCTCACACATGTTCCTGGCTTGATTTTTATTTTTTCAGGCTGGAAGAAAATTTATTCATGTAACTTGCAGAGAATCAAATAATCATAATTACTATTAGTACATACTTCATGACCCGCTTCAATGCCACTCAAAACTAAACGTTTGCCTTTTCCATCAGATGCTATAACAGCATAGCCATCTTTGATCGAAGCCCTAAATGGTGGTAAGTTGCATGGCGAATGAACTGTTTCTGCTAATACCCTTCCTAAGCATTCCCAAATATCAATTGTAACAAAAGGTAAATCATTATCACAAGTTTTAAGTAAAATATCTTGAGACTCCTCGATGGTAATCATGGGATATGGTGATTCTCTAAGTCGACTAGCAACATTATTCAAATTTAAAGAAACATTTCCTTTTTTGTGAGAACAACCGCATAGTTTTTCTTGTTTTAGAATTTTCGCATGTGTATCTTTTATAAATTGCAGTTGATCACATAATAAATCAACTGCATGAGGAATTGCTCTTTGTACTGCACGGTAACATTCTTCTACTGCTTTTGGTGATCCAGGAAAATTAATGATCAATGTTTTTCCTCTTATACCACTGGCTGCTCTGGATTATTAAATAAATTTTAATGACAAAACATCATTTTGGAATCAAGTCACTGCAAATGATATTATACCTAGACAAGCAGGCTAGTGGCGTAGCTTCATAACTTTTAGTAAACATGGCATGAGTAAATCCTGGAGTCTCTCTCTGGATAACATTCTTAGTTGCTTCAGGAGTAACATCGCGTGGAGAAAATCCAGTTCCACCAGTTGTGAAAATGACATTTATGCCTCTTTTATCCGACCATTCAATAAGAATTGTCTAAGAGAATAATTTGAATTCAAAAAATTAACTCATTAGTCAAAAAAAGATAAATAAAAAGAGGTTGTTAGATATTACTTTCAGTTATGTATAGTTACCTCAATAGCACTTATTTCATCAGGAACAACATTGCAACATTCTATACGACTTTCATAGTCTTCTAAATTCTTAGTAGTACTGATAAGTTTTTTCAGAAGTGGACCACTTTTGTCAACATTTTCTTTTGCATAACAACTATCGCTTACTATGATAAGAAAAAACACCTGTTTAGTATGTGTATTTATAACCTTATTTAAAACATAATTTCCATTAGTTACATAATTAATAAATTGAAACTTGGATCTAGCTTAAAATAAAGTTAATTATATCACAGACAGAAATAAATATGCGAATTTAATAGAAACCTGTTAGTATTCCATAAGTTATGAGTGACATCTTTTTCTTCAAATGTTACAGCAGTCACCTCAGGCAGTTGCAGATTTTATAAGGTACATAGAGTCGGATATTGGCGAGATTAGGTAACTTTCATTTAAGATAAATTATCTTGAAATAATAATCATGTGATGATCGATTTTAAATCACGAGAAAAATAATGCAAAAGTTAGCTATATAAGCCGAATGACAAATTTATTATTTCACGTTACCTAGACATTTAAACAAATACAATAAACAATAAAAATGATAAGTTATGCCAAGGATTATGAATAATAAAAATAATCTTCATTGAAAAAACCAGAAATATTTATTAGAGTACATTAGTTTTAAATGAAAATACAGTTATGTATACATTATATATTTATACATATAGTAGAATAAAGTCGGAGTTTTCTCATTTTTGACATGTTTAAATTAGCATTTAAATACCTAGTGGCTAATACCGTAAAAAAATGAATTTTTTTAAAGATCACAGTTTTATATTACAAGATTGTGCAGAAATTATCTACTGTAATTGACGTCACTTGATTTGATCAAATTTAAAATACCATTTAATAGTCTACTAATCCACTGAAAAAAGAAAACCATTAGTCAGTGATTGTTTTATTTATTGAAAAATGAAACGCATCATATGATAATTACCGATTATTTTTGGGACTGTCATTTCGAGATGATGATCTAGTCGATCGTCTTCGAGAATCTCCTTGGCGGCCTCTATCACTACTAGATCTTCTATCTCGTTCCCGGTCTCTAGCTCGGTCGCGCTGCCGATCTCTGTCACGATCGCGATCGCGACCGCGATCCCGATTTCTACTCCTTTCTCGATCTCTATCCCTGTCTCTGTCGCGGTTCCTGTCACGATCTCTATCTCGCTCTTTTTCTCTGTCTCTGCTCCGATCATCGTCCCTATGTTCTCTTCTACTCGATGAGGTTCGTTCTCGTTCATTGCTAGGAGAACGAGAGTGACTTGAACGGGAACCAGAGCTTAAAGTACTCTCGTAACGATGTCGACGTTCACGTTGCCTGCAAATAATGCAATGATTTCAAAATGAAATTAATTCCTTGCAAAATTTTAATTTTCAAATCCTAGTGGATAACTTACTTTCGTCTGAGTTTCAAAGACATTTCTCGAATTTCATCTTCGCGGGTCTGCCTTTGTTGCTCCAATTTTTCCATACGAGCTTGTTCTGCTTTTTTATCCGCTTTGTCTGAAAACATCAATTATTATAAAATTTATATAAAATGACTTTTCTTTTTCTTAATCTAGGCATGTGAAATTTTAACTTACATTGTTTGTTCAACATAGCTTGCATTTTCTTTTTAAGCCGCTCTTGCGGAGTAATTTTTTGAACCTGAAAAAATTGCCAGTGAAATTCTTTTCCCAAAAACTTTTAAGAATTTATACATCATTAATATAGCAAATAAGTAAAATTTGGGTTAAAAGTTAATCAGCGTGCATAGAGGTACTAAATTTAATTTACAGCGTGTGAATTTTAGTAGGAAAATATTTTTTGTTTCTACATGCAATTAGAAATAGATACTTTCAACATATGATAAAAGTACATTCGTTATTGGTACAAAAGAAAATATGAATCAAAAGGAAACAGTCAACAATCTGTTTGCAATGTGCATTAAATGTCTAATAAAGCGTTACGATTCTTACTGACTTTGAGTCCGGCACCAGATAATGTACTTAACCCTGCTTTTGGTCGGTTTCTAAAAATAAAATAAAATGTATTATAATTTTGTGAGGTTCGTAAGATTGGCGTAATTAAAAAATTACTAACGAGTTAAAATTAGACGATCCTGATTGAGTAGAATGAGAATTTTTGTCTTCTTCATCTGAAATTTCCAATTCAGAACTAGATGATTTGCCTCTACGTCCATAATACCTGGAGAAATTGATAAATTTTTTATAAGTTTCTGTTCTAAGCTTTGTAACAAGTTACAATAAACTCACCTTGGAACAGGTAGAGGTTTATCAACACTTTTAGAACGTTTGCAGACAGATTTGCTTCTGGATCTGGAGAATCTTGACTTTGATCTATCCCGACTTTTGCTTCTTGTTTTAGATCTCGAACGAGACTTTGATCTTGATTTTGAGATAGACTTAGATTTCGACCTAGACCGCGTTCTTGCTCTGTTCGGAGTCTTAGATACAGATCTAGAATTCGATCGAGATCGAGACTTAGTTTTAGATCTCGATCTAGATTTGGATCTTGATTTAGTTTTACTTCTAGATAGGGATCTAGTTCTATTCCGACTACGACTTCTAAATCGTTTAGCTCTCGGGCTGGCACTCCTTGACGAGGAAGATGAGGTAGAAGAATATCTGCGTCTGGAAGGAATATGGGTAGAACGCGAATATGTTCTGCCTCTGGATCTTGAACGTGTTCGAGTTCGTCCACGAGAACGTGACCTGGATTTTGAAGTTGATCGTCTTGAACGACTCCGTGATCTAGAACGACGGTACTTGCGATTTCGGGGAGACTCTCGCTTTGATCTGTCATACAAAAGTTTTTATAAAGTAAAATATTTGAATAAATCAAGTATGTTTTGTGTACTGTACCTTGAATATGGTGATGGTTTTCTTTTCAAGTTTCTATCTCGAGATCTAGACCGACTTTTAGATCGAGATTTAATGAATTTTTTACTTGTTGACATTGGACTCAACGCTTTCATTCTGGTATTGGTGGAATTGACTTTTTTTGTGATTGGTTGAGAAGAACTTGTTACAGTGCTCTCTTCCTCATCTCCAAAACTAGTTATGTAAGTGATTTGCCCTGCATTAGCAGGAGATAATGAGCGCGATCGTGATTTTGAAGAGGATTTTCTGTATGGGTTGTAATTGGGACTTTCCCTGGCAGCGTAACTTGGAGGGCTGATGACACGACCGATCATTTTTTTCTCTCTAAAAGCACGTCTCTCTCGCCTAGATCTTCGACCCTGAAAAATACAATAATCCCATGTTAATTATATGCTAATAGGTATAATTTTTTTGTTAAAAATTTCTTACAGAAAACATTGCTTTTTCTTCTTCCTGCTTGCGAGCAAGCTTAAGAGATTCAGCTTCCTCATGGTCTTGGGTTAAAAAACTGAAATAATCTGCTCCTAGAAGTCCATACCTTTGTCCAACTTGATTCATTTCGTGTGCTTGAGCTGATTCAATCTGTGACACATCAACACAAATATCCAAGTCAATGTCACTGTCATCATCATCTTTTTCTTCTACTGATTCATTCGTTTCAGCAGGTTTAACACCCTCTGGGATTGGTTCTTCTGTTTCATAATTATAACCAATTGCTGCATTGTTACTGGATTTTTTTTTATCTTTCCCACTATCTAATTTTGTTGCTCCAAATTGTTCTTCAACATGAATTTGATGAAGAAACTTTTCTTCTGGCACTATAATGATAAAAACACATAATAGTCAACAAATGCAACATATTTTATAACAGCCTGACATGCATGCCATGACTGAACTAACCACACAGAAATTCATTTTGAACAATTATTCGATATCTTTCATAATTGATTTGCCTATCCTCATTTGTTAATGGTATATCAATGTCATTATTTTTAGGAGCCTCTGGAATCCAATCAAGATGAGCTCTAACATCAAATCTATCGATTAAATTATCTGCATTGCCTTGCCATGGCATCCTGCAAAAATAAAGCAAGTTATTGGGCATGTTTTAAACCTGTTTGGGCATTTTTTTGTGACTCTTACATGTTTGCTGGACTATCACCAGCAGCTGCCACAACAGGATCCAAATGTATTTTGCAAGGTCTACCATGGAGTTGTAAAAATTGTGTTGGATCAGATTTCTGAAAATTATAAATTTGGAAAATAAACAACAGGATTTTTTTTTATAATCCTAATTTATTAAATGGAAAAGTCGTATCAAAACGTTTAATTCAATCTATCTCTCGCCCCTGATTGATCTCATTATCATACTACAATTTCGGGAAAAAATTAAACAACTCACAATTTTTTCATAATAATCCCGTCTCCTCTCGGCACGGCGGCGGTAATCGACCAGCATACCACGGATTTTTTTCTCCTGCTTGCGGGCTTCGTGCCACATTCTGCCACCGGTTTTCTTCACGTTGAAACTCATTTTCGAGCCAAGTCAACTGTCAAACGTGAGACGAGAGGCTTTTAACTTTCGATGGCTCGAGGCATCGAATAGTGCAAGGATAAAAATCCTTGCACTACGCCATTGTAATTGTGTGCTTACGACTCAGATCAAGATACAGAGATGCGAGTTGAAGGCTAACTAACGCCCACCACGCTAACCGCAGCTAAGGCATCGCAAATTATTATGCGATCTGGGTTCGTTTACAGTTCCTGCTTGCATCTTGCATGATTGTCATGAATCGCTCAGATTGATTCACTTACTACTCGTAAAACTTATGCGCATACGCATCATACCAGTTGTTATTGTGTGTCGTTTCCCGCCAATTTTATTGTGTTCTGTCTACAGAGTACAGATCACATCACACGCATTTTTTACGTTCTTTGCTTGATTAGTTGAATGCACCAATATTATTGAGTAATTTAAACTCGTCAAGTATCTAAAGCATAGAATAATTACAAATTTTGGCAATGGACGAATCTACATTATCAGATTTACTGCCACTTTATTATACCAGATTATTTCCTTACGTTGACTATTATAGGTGGCTGAGCTACGGCGAAGGTACGAAAACTTTTGTTAATGTGTCTTTAAATTATTATTACTTCACTGACAAAATTACGTACTTGCAGTCAACACTTTTTCCCGTCGAGAGTTTTCATTCACGCTTCAAGATGACATATACATACGTTATCAATCATTCAATAATATTGAAAGTCTGAAAAATGAAGTCAAAAGACTGTGCCCTTACAAAATTGATATTGGAGCTGTTTATAATGTTGCGTGAGTAATTGGCAATTGAAATGAATTTTTGAGACCTTGACGTTTTATTGGCATGTTTTGTATTCATTATAGACCATCAAACAAAAGAAGAGAAGCCAAATTTGAACCTATTCAGAGAGAATTTGTTATTGATATTGATATGACAGATTATGATGATGTCAGAACTTGTTGTACTGGAGCTGACGTTTGTAACAAATGTTGGAAGTACATGTCATTGGCTCTTAAGATATTAGATGCAGCTTTGAGAGGTATATCCAATACACATACAAAGAATTTAATTAATTTTTTATTATAGTAAAAACTATTCAATATTACCAGAAAACAAAAAATAAATAGTTCTCTGTGGTTTTAGATGATTTTGGCTTTGAACATATTTTGTGGGTATTTTCTGGAAGAAGAGGTATCCATTGTTGGGTATGCGATAAACAAGCTCGTTTTCTGACTCCAAATACAAGAAAAGCTGTAGCCAGTTATTTACAATTGGTGACAGGAGGAGAGTTTCAAAAGAAAAAGGTCAAGATTGTCAAAAAAATGCACCATTCTGTAAAGTATGCTTGTTTGATAATAAAATTGAACATAAGTATAGTTCAATTGATACTAAAGTATAAATTCAATTAATTGCAGAAGAGCTGTTGATATTATTGAATCTGTATTTACCAAGATGTGTGTTGAAGAACAAGGTATGTTAGATTCGGAGGAAAGAGTGACAAAATTTTTGGGTATTATTGGAGAAGAAGATATGCGAGCTGAAGCAAAAGCTGTTCTTGACAAACATTCAACTGGTGTCAAAAAGTGGGAAGCCTTTGTTAACTTTTTCAAACAAGAAATGCAATCTGTGAGTTAAAATTGGTTTCTAGTACACTGGCATCTGGACTCTGTTTAATAATTTATACTTTAAATGCAGGGAAATAAAAAATGGCGCAGGACACCATTCTTGATTCAAGAAATAATGCTTCAATATGCATATCCAAGATTAGATATTAATGTATCAAAAGGAATGAACCACTTGCTTAAATCACCTTTTTGCGTGCATCCCAAAACTGGCAAAGTTTGTATACCTATCAATCCAAAAGTAGTAGATCAATTTGATCCCAAAAGTGTTCCAACTATAACAACACTTATTGATGAAGTCAATGCTTTTGATGCCAAAGAACTGAAAGAGCAAGGAGAATCTATTGATAATGTTAAAAGAATAAAAGATTACAAAAAGACAAGTCTGAATAAACCATTCCATGCATTCCAAGAATTTTTGAGAGGAATTGAAAATTCTCAAATGGGTGAGAGAATAAAAAAGAGTGGTGAGTTAATATTTTTTTTTTTTATGATGAACTGAATCAAACAACTAATTAAAAACTGTTTTGTCATTTTAGATGTGACCATGGAGTTTTAGATGTAAATATTTCCAGTGTACATATAATTAAGACCCACCTGATGGTATTGTAAATGCTACAAACAGTTAATTTTACGTTTTTTAAAAATAGTGATAGAATTAACAAAAATTTCTCACATTTATTATTTTTACTCAAATTCATAAATATTTACAATTTTTATAATGATTAAAAACGTAATACTTATTCAATTTATTTATAAAATAAATTGATTTTTTCACAGTAAATTTATTTGCTTTGTGTATTAATTAGTATGGCTCTGAGCTGTAAAATAATACTCCAAACTGCTTACAAGCTTCTTCTATTGTAGGATATTCATATTTGAAACCTGATTCCAGAACTCTCTTTGGTAAAACTTTTTGACCTTCAAGCATTACCTTTGCCCTTTCTTCATTCAAGAGCATCTTTAAGAAAAATCCTGGTATTGGGAAAAAGGCTGGTCTTGTGAGAGCTGATGCAAAAGCTTTTGTGAATTTGGCATTTGTGACAAGCTGCAAAAATTAAATATTATGAATTTATTTTCATGTACTTGGAATTAAGGCTATTGATGTTTCTTACTTCAGGAGCAACACCATTATAAACTCCTGATGCGTTATCATTTTTTAAAATGTGAATAAAAATATTGACTAGATCTTTTATGTGAATCCAAGGCATGTATTGATCTCCACTTCCAAGAGGACCACCCACTCCTAGGAAAAATGGTAGAAAAGTTTGTTTGATCATACCCCCAGTTCTTCCTAGAACAACTCCTGATCTTACTATAGCCCTTCTGGTACTACATCCATCTGGTAGTTCTGAAGCTTTTTCCCAATCATGAGTGAGTTCTGAAGAAATATTTCAATTCAAGTTTATTTCTGCAGACCCAATTTTTTTCCTTACTCACCTGAAAGAAAATCATATTTTTCACACTTGTCATATTCAGAATACTCTTTTCCATCGGGTGGATAGTAAGCCACTCCAGATATGCTGATGAATGTTTTGACATCTGAATTCGTAATGGCTTTCACCAATTGATCGTTAGTTTTAACTCTGCTGTTATAAACATTTTGTTTGAAACCAGGAGTCCACCTCTGGGTGAAGTCTAAAATATTCTGACCAGCGACATTTATCACGGCAGTGGTATCGTTAGGCAGTCCGTTAGTTTCCAAATGTTGCTGTAGAAATCAAAATTTTTTTCTCTCAACGACTGATTGCAAAAAAGCACGCAATAACATGACTCGATATTTACCCAGGATATTCTGTTGGGTCCTGGCATACGCGAGATAATCGTCGTTCTGACGTTCAAACTGTGCAGAGCCGTCGCGATGCAGGATCCAACGTAACCGGTTCCACCGCCTGCAAAATGCAAATAGTGCGCACGTTATAACCTTTGTTTTGACACATTTCTTGCATAATAACGAGAAAATTGCTAATATCGGCGAGCAAAAATTACGAACTCATAATTCATGTAAACAACGAGCTTTAAAAGTTCAACGACTCACCGATGACGACGTGCTTCAGTGACATTTCTCAAGTTGCAGCGAGTTATCGGTTATCGTAGCGCAAAACTTGAAACGAGAAAAATTGCGCTACTATGTTTTCTGTTGTGTAGTTTGTAGCCCGTACATTTCGCATGTGTGTGTTTATATATAGTAGCAGCCGACGCGAAATTCGCCGCACGAGTAGGAGTGCGCGAGCGCGAGCGAATCGTGTGTGTGCATTTAACATTTTGCGAAGAGAGATGCACGAGCACGATCGTCGCGCGAGAAAGGGGAAGGGGCCACTGAGCTCGACCCGTGGCGCGCGTTCACAGCTCGGACACACAAGGAGCGCTCGCCTATATAGGCAGGGATTTAATAAGTATTAGTTGAGGCCGCCGGGTTAATTCGCGAGCGGCCGCTGCTGCATTTTGGCTACAAAATGCCTCCCTACCCTTGAAAATTATTTATATCAATGACCTTCGTTGTAGGGGTGGGCAGTAGTCCTTTTTACCAAAATTTCGTCCTTGCACTGCGCTAATAAATGCCCCCTTATACCGCTCCTAAATTCTTGTTCAGTGACATAGAATCACGGCATGTGCGTGATGTGCATACAGAACAGCGAGCCAGGCTCTGTGCCGGTAGCGAAGGAGGGGAAGCGCAGCGCTCGTTATTTGTTTTTCATTCGTATTTATTTTTTATACTGCGTAACGTTTGTGTGTGTGTGTGTGACAAAACACTATCCATGCAGGCGCCTGCCTCTGCCGTCGTGCCACCAACAGGCAAAGCGACTCTTTCTTTGCGCCACAGGCCACCCGCCACAGGCTCTCGAGTCTCGAGCCTCTTTTGCCGCACGACAACGCAAACGACGATCTCCGCCGGCATGTGTGAGTGCGGCGCAGCGCATTGTAGTAGAATATAAGTGCAAGCCATGGCATCTATTCGTTTAGGCATTGCTTCATAGGCTGCTGTTGGCTGCGGAATGTCACATAACGTTTCTGGAAAATAATATAAACTCGTACTCGAGGTTTTGCGTTGACATTTTGACACTTTTACAGCGATCTGCGCCATTAAAAAAATCCCATGTAAAGTAATTCTAAACACATGTGTGCGAGTGTGCCATATACGAGGAACTATAAAATAAAAAGTTAACTTTTCGTCGAATTAATGTCACGATATCGTCGATACACTCAAGAGTGGAGTACATTGTAACAATAACGACGAATCGTTTTATATTTTATATATAGTTGCTATTTGCCGGCGAACTTCGCACTCCACACCGCATCGTTTAGAGTCAATCGACTGTTTGTTTCGTTACTATATCATGCCATACATGCAGCAACAGCGGCTACGGTCGCAGCGCAGCAGCAGTCTTACATCGTATGTCAAACAGGCAGCTGTAAATCGTTAATCTCTATCAACGTAGAACTCTAACTCGAAGTCTTCGTAGTCGTCGTCGTCGTTGCAACACATAACATTCGAAAAGCTCTCGAGTATCGGCGCGCTCCACCACCGACGACGTGCACGGAGCAGAGTGTCTTCGCCTGAATCGTGTGCAGTTGTCGCGCAGTTTCGCACTGTATTACCACCTGTGCGCACACGATCGCGGATATCATCTTCCAATGGAGCTGTCGCCGCGTGAGATGGACAGTTGAATTTTCTCGAAGACTCACAATTGGCAAATCCTTCGCTGTCGTCATCGCTGCTCTTTCATAAATCATCGATCGAAAAATGGGTAATTATGAAATCTCGCCGTACCGTTGAGTGTTGTTCCGGCGTGAAAAACGCGTGTTCGTGCAGTACGAGCGTGTATCGTTTGTTTTTACTTCGCGTAAGCAAATTGCCTCTCGCATGGCTACCTGTTGCTGACTGCACCTAACAGCATATGATACGCGTTATGCTGCTTTATTACGCCCAACTTATGTAGCGTCGAAGTTTATCTCCATGCGTTTTACATATATTTAGCGTGCATCATGTAATAATATAATGTAGGATAAGGTTGCGGCGGCGCGAGTCGAGACGTTACACGCGAGGAATGCGGTTTTCCCGTTTCTCAACGCGTACGTGTGGTGCACTGTGCGATGTTCCCATATCGATTTCCTATAAATCTCTCTGTCTCTGCAGGTGCATCCGAGGGATGATGTTAAACGACGACCACCACAAGCTGGTGCGCGCTTTTAATGACAATTTAAAAATAACATCTCAAGGCTCCGTATAAACGAGCGAACGAAGGTGTAGTTACTACCGTACGCGCTCGGTTAGATAGACGATGTGTACGACGCGATATTTACCCTGCCGGGAAACCGTCGTTAAAGTCAATCCAACGAGAGAGAGATTCGCGCGACGTTATACAATAAGGAGCGCATTGTATTATGCGCGTTTCCTTATCTCTAATTAGCCTATTATGATGAATTGACTGCATTAGAGACGCTATAAGCATTACATACAGTCAATAAATAATAAAGGTCTCTGTGTATATCGTGCACAACGCGCAACAAAATAGGCTCGACGATTTATCGTGTCTCCGTTCTTCAAAACGCCTTACCTACGCGTCTTCTGTTTGGATTATTATTTCATTTCAACTTTGTGCGAATGATAACTGATCTGTTTTTATCACGTTCGATAAACATCTTCAATTACGCGCAACTCGAAGCGCATTATATGTGCACGTCCGACTCTCTCGATATATGCATACACGCACCAAGAGGCACGCATTTTTCGATCGTATTCGCTATGATCGTGATTATTTGTCTCTGTGCGAAATTCAATACGTAAACATTCGTCGAGCACGCAGACCAATAGATTATCATTATTATTATTATTATTTATACATATAAATATCTTTTACAGGCTGTACGAGAAGCAAATTGAAAAATGCACCCGTCTCGCTACCACTACTATCTGCCCATTCCAGGCAAGAATGGATCGCCTGGAGGCGATACTTTTTCACGCATATCCACGACAAAGACGTGCCGATTTACAGGCAGAGCGAGGAATTCTTCCGCCTAATCGGCGAAGTCGGCTACTCGATCATGAAAAATCTCTACTTCGGCAGCATCAGCGACGAGCGCAATCTCGAGATACTGCTGCACAAATTCGACGTCTACTTCACTTTTTGCGGCAAAAGGAAACGACCAGACGAGACCCTCGACAATTATTTCAAGTCGCTCGAAGTAAGTTTTACGCCGTTGTATTTTAGAAATTTGATTTTTCATATTATAAATTTATTCGTATTTTATTTTCTAGTCTATCGCCGAGAAGACAGCAAACAGCAGAGCGAACGTTGATAAATATATCAAAGAAAAGTTGCTGCAAGACATGAAGCACGGAAAAATCTTTGAACAGTTTTTGAAAATCGTGCCTATTTTTTCAAAAGTAAGCAACTATGAAACGTTGACTTCGACTGAATTGAAGTTCATTTGGTACGAATGTGAATATCACGAAGATATTCGTAAAAGTTGCCAATTGATAGAAAAATTAGAACCAGTTAAAGAAGTATCAATATATCAGAAAGAAATTCAACCTATGAGAAAAAAAAATATATGTTTTAAATGTGGTCATGATCATAGTGGTAGAAGATGCCCAGCATGGGGACAAAGATGTTGGAAATGTGGAGATTTAAATCATTTTTTGAGATGCTGTCCAAAAACATTCATTAGAGATTGTGTGAATTGTGGAAGAAATCATATTCAATTTAAATGTCCTGCTTATGCCAAAGAATGTTCAAGGTGTAAGAAGAATAATCATTTTGCATGGCAGTGCCTTGGTGATGTTATTAATTGTTGTGATTATTGTGGCCAAAGCCATCTTAGTGGTCGCAATAACTGTCCTGCTGCAAAAAATATTTGTAATAAATGTCAAAAAATAGGGCATTTTACTAGCAAATGTCGCTCAAGAAGAAATAGTTTAAGAAAATAAGTGAATAAAGCATGATGTTCCTAATCATTTGATCCACAAGAGTATTAATACAAACTAAAGATTAAGTATTAATACTGAATTTTTTTTTATTGTGTTTTGAAAATTTTCATTATTTAAAGTAATGAATTAGCATATCATCTTATTTGAAGAAATAATTTAATTTTTAACTTTGGAGACCTTCATTACTCTAATGATAATATATTTATAAAATATATTTTCATTATAAATTTTATTATGTAATGCATCATCAATCAAAAAAGAGTAATTGAGAGATTTTTGATGAAACATGAAAATTATTTTTTGCTTTTAAGTTAAATTTTTAATAACTCAATAGATTTTAATATAAATAATAAAAAATGTTGAATTAAGTTACCTTAATTTTAATGCTATGTATGATACTATATGATCATAAACAATCTGCTTAATGTTGTAATCAAATAATAGATTCTCAAGAATTTTTTTATAGTTTTGTTGTAGTAAATGTTATTTTTTGTACTAAATGTATTTATTAGGCTTTATCTGACTATATAACTTGCTTTTTATTGTTTACATGATCATATCAATAAGATATGACAATGAACTACAACTAGATATGTTATGTCTCCAAAATGTTTATCATTAATGTTCCTATTGAAACATGTTACAGAATTACTGCTGTTGGCTTTGTCAATTTGGCCCATGTTTTGGCAAAATACATTAAATGTGATCATTATAATCAAAATTTCATTTTCATATATCATAATAAAAACCCTGTAAAAATCAAGTATTAAAAGTGTGAAATGCAGCTGCAGTGTCCTTATGTTAGCCACTGCCATTTTATGCAGCTCACAAATCGGGGTAAAAGAGATTTTTGTAAAGAAAAAAAAATAGTGAATACTCTAATTTAATGAATTAGAGTTATCTTTATGTTTTTCTTTCAATAAGATACAATATCTTCTTCCTCTGAAATGAAAGTATAAATAAATTAATTTAGCATCAAGTTTGAATTTGGTTTTTTTTATTCTTAAGAAATCACGCGAACTCATTTCTATGATCTAACTGATTTAAATAACAACCAATGCTTTCATGTTCATTTAATTGGCTAGTGTGATCATGTAACCTAGTAATCTCAGATGTAATTATAAATATTCATCCGAAAAGTTCTTTTCAATTAAAAATTATGACATTAGCACCTTGCTGGGAAGTGCCGAAGTTCATAATTAATTATCCTTGTTCAAAAATATCGCGCAACTGCAGCGCCAATTATGGGCCCCTGAACGTCTCGAACGCCCCCAACTTTCACAGTTCAGGAATCAGGACGTCCCACGTAATGGCGATGCATTGTGCTGTCAAATTTTCGATCATCATCGTTTAAGTTTACATTTTTCAATTTTCACTTTATAGTTCATGTATGGTCATCATCGCGCATAATCGCGTTGATGAAAGAGATTGTGGTTAATATTTTATTTTAATCATTATTCATAATTTCCACGGAGGCTCATAGTTTATTGTAACTATTCAAAATTTGTAGGTGGACACTAAAATCTATTTATCTATTCATAATACAATACACAATATGCATCCCGATCCGGTAATTCATGCTATAAAAGCTGGTGATCTAGAATACCTGAAAACAGTCATACAAAATGTAGGATTTAATTTTTCACCTACATGGGATGGAGGATATTCCTTACTCTGCACAGCTCTTTATAATCGTCAAGAGAAAGTGGCATCTTGGCTTATTAGGAATGGTTGTAAAATTCATCAAATTATGGGTAAATTTGATGACACTCCGTTGCATATAGCTGTGCAAATCGATGATGTTTCCTTGATTTTGAAGTTATTGCATCGAGGGGTTTCAATCACTGCTAAAAATAATCAGGGTCAAACTCCTTTACATATCAGCTGTTATAGAAAAAATTTTGAAGTAACGCAGTTACTATTACAATCTAATGCCTCTGCTGTAGATGTAATTGATGCTTACTTCAATACTCCGTTCCACATTGCTGTAGAAACCAATGCACATGATATAATTAAACTTTTATTAAAGTATGACATAAATGTAAATGCTCGTACTTTAAATGCCAAGTTTCTAGGTTTTACACCTTTGCACATTGCTGTAAAAAATCGAAACTACGCAGTAGTACAAACTTTATTGAATTATAATGTTGATATAGATGCAGAAATTTCGACTGAATATTTTAAAGGATTAGATGAAAGCAAAAATCAGAATATTTTGTTTAAAAGTTATACACCTCTACAATTAGCAATGGAATTGAACGATCAAAAAATGGCTGACTTGCTCAAAACTGCTCAAACGAAACGTGTTAGAGTGATAGAAATTTTTGATGAAACGTGTAATCCTTCAAAGATAATGAAACAAGAAGATATACATTTTGATTGTTGCAATCCTTTTCGATTAGTTCCATTAGATTCAAAGTCATTGTATAATCGTGTTGTTGATTTTGAAAATGAAAATTATGAAAATTATGAAAACTATGAAAATTATAGTAATCAAAGGTTGAATGAAGATATTTACCTAGTTGTTCAAAGAGAAGAAGAAAAACTTTTAAACATCTTGATTTCTTGTAATGTGGATATTAATATACAAAATTGTAATGGTCAAAGCCCTTTACATCTAGCAGTAAGTAATTCCAGCATGAAGATTGCCCAGATTTTGTTAAGAGCCGGTGCAAAAATTGATGAAATGGACAATTATGACAATACTCCCCTTAGTATTGCTATAAGAAATAAAAAGCTGAATATGGTGGAAATGCTCTTATCTTTTAATCCAGATATTCATAATGTTTTCAACAAAGCTGCTGTAAATTATGCAATTAAAAATTATGATCAAGACTTTTCATTCATTGTGGATTCACTTTTGAGATATGGTTTTACAGAAGTAGATTTAACAGACATAAACTATGATCACATCATTAATTTATCCTTTAAAAATGACTGCATGGAAATAGTTGAGTTGATAATTGAAAACATTATTGACTCTAAGTCAATAGATATTTACTGCTCAATAAACTTAGAAGTAAAATCAAGAATATTTAGATATTTAGTATCTCAGAAAAAGATAAATCAAATCAAATTTTTTTTAAACAATGGATATGACTTGGAAATTTTTAAACAATATATTCTTGAAAACAATGATACAGAAATGTCAAATTTATTACTTGAGAAAAAGGAAGAAAAGAATGATTTTCTTACAGAATTTTTAACCAGTGCCAAAAAAAGTAATTTAGATACGATTCAAAAGCTTCTCAATTATGGAGCGAATATCAACTGCATGGATGAATTTGGTACTACAGCATTACATTTTGCAGCTTGGAATAATGATTTTAATCTTGTTAGATATTTATTAGAAAATAATGCATCTACTGCAATAATACATCATAACAAAGTAAGAGTGAATCAAATTCATCCAAAAGATAATGAAAAAGAAGAAATTTATTGCAAGTATTTTACAAGTCAAATTTTTACCACGCCATTGCATATAGCTGTTTTAAATAAAAATGAATTAATATTTACTGAGCTTTTAGAAAATCATGCCGATGTTAATGCTCAAGATGGATATGGTAGAACTGCTCTGCATATTGCCTCTGCAATGATATCAACAAAGCAAAAAAAAATTATTGAAATTTTATTCAAATATGGAGCTGATATGAACATTGTAGACACCTTCAATAGATTACCATTCTATTATGTTCTTAATTATTCATGCATGTGCAATGTTGCTTTTCAAAATGAATATGAGCTATACAACGAGTGTGATTGTTATGAAGAATCAGATAATAAAGATGTCATAGCTCTTTACATTAAACATATTGCAGTCATGAGTCATTCAAGTCAAATCATAGATCAGCACTTGGGTTTATTAAATAGTGAAGAGTTGAATGAATTTTTCTTATCGTGCATGTGTGAAGTTTCAAGTATGAAAGCTGAGTTATATGGTAATATAACATATTTAGATTTTTTGACTAGAAAATCAAATGCCTTAGCTGCTTGTGTTGGCAAAGCAGAAGTGTCTGAAATTTTTGAATCAATTGAAATTGAGAAAGAATTTCCTTTATACTTTGAATTATTAAAAGAACGTTATGCCTTAGCAAAAACTAGAAAAAATTTGCTAGATTCTGCTGCTCATTCATTAATTAATTTAACAAAATTTAATTTACCGTTTGTTGTTACTCATAAAATAATGAAATATTTTCAACTTAATGATTTGAAAAATTTAACTGATGCAAGTGTAATTACAATAGATTAGCTAATAGATATAGTTAAGTATAGTGATTGATTATAGTCATAGTAACTTTGTTATTGAAAATTGTATGAAAACGTGTGATTTCTATTTTCCGAAGCATTTACATGACAGATGCGATTAGGCGTTTTTTTACTCAATAAATATTGTTATAAATTGACCAAACAAATCCAGTCTCTTTTATTTACTCGTAACGTCGGCTACCGCACCTTCTACAATTCGAAACTCGCGGTTCTCCCAAGCCTGAAAAAGACAATTAGGTATCCTATTCAAGATAACGATTTATTCGTCGTAGTCTTGAGTCGTGGCGCTAGGGTGAATCAAAGATCGATATAAACAAGTGGGAGGAGGAGGGCAAAAAAAGGAGCACACAGCACGGCGCATAACTGTGTATACACGAATGCTATATATATGCTTACACATTCAATACTGCGCCTGACATTGCATTCTCTTGTATATATAACATACATCTATCTATAGGTATACAGAGAATGTGTATACGTATTACTACACTAGGCTACTAGGGGCCAAGGGGTAAATGCAGGCAGTACTGCGGCTGCGAGAGGTGTCGACTGATGGGTGCTGTGCTCTCGTTGGACTTTTAAGCTTAAAGAAGAATAATTTATTGATCGTCTCGAAGACGTCGGCCCAAACGACAACATGAACATGGATTTCAACATGAAGAAGCTCGTGAAAGACGCGGGCGCGGCCCTCAGTCGTGTTGTCCAGGTAATGTTAATGATGGAAACGTGTGGGTGTCCAGTTTATATTTTCGATACAATTCTCAATGCTACGTTTTTTACTTTGGTCTCAAACTGAGGCTAATTTATTCAAATGATCCTCTTATCGATGATTATGTTTCATTTTTTTACATCGTATATTTTGAATGTAGATGACTGAGGAGACTTTGGGTACATCAGAGAAGACAGAGCTGGATGCCCATTTTGAACACTTGGCAGAAAGGGCTAATGCCACAAAGACCTGGACCGAGAAAATACTCAGGAATATGGAAGCAATGTTGACACCTAATCCTGGTTAGTGGTTTCTCACTTGACTCACTTATTTCAAATTTGATTATTTACTTTTTGGTGCAGTGAAGTGAATCAAATTTTACTATAATCATTGATATTAATACTATTCATACTTGTAGGAAATAGAATCGAAGATTTCTTTTTTGAAAAGATCGATAAGAAAAAACCAAATAGGCTTAGCAATTTGGAATACGTTGGTATAGACATGATAGAGGCTGGCAATGATTTTGGCCCTGGAACAGCTTACGGTGAGCAAAAATTATTTAAATGTTTATGTACGGAATTGGAATGATGATTTTAACTGACTATGATTTAATTTTTAATCCTGTGCAGGGAGTGCATTAATTAAAGTTGGTCATTGTCAGCAAAAGCTAGGACAAGTGGAAAGAGACTTTATTGGAACTTCAGCTAATTGTTACATACAACCTTTGAGAAAGTTCTTGGAGGGAGAAATGAAAACCATAAGTAAAGAAATGGCCATTTTAGAAAGTAAAAGGTAATATAAAAATGTCAAATCTCATGCAAAATTAAGTTTTAAATAATTCATACATTTAAATATATTATTTTTAATAGGTTGGATTTAGATTCTTGCAAGAGACGAGTCAGAAAAGCTAGGTCTATGTTGGGACAACAGAATGTAAGTTCCTTTTATTGTAAATAATTTTTAATAATTATTGTGCAAATGACTATTTAATATTCAATGTCTTGTAATTGCTGCAATAAATAGGAAAGTGGTTTATCTCCTGAAGCATTGCTTGATCAGGTATCAATGAACTGATCTGTTTGAAAATAATTAATTTTTATTAGTATTGATTACCTTATTTTATTATTGAGTTGATGATAAGTTCATCCAGAGTATTAGTTTTTATTTCATTATTATAGATAAGTTTTTAATTTGTAGCCGTATATTATATTTACATTTATTTAATTATCAGTGTGATGGAATTATAAATAGCTTACAAATTGTAGATGTATTATAAAAATAATGTTATAGTAATAAAATTATTGTATACTTATGCTCATTTTTTATACTTAGGCTGAAAGGGAATTGAGGGTGGCTCAGTCGGAATTTGACAGGCAAGCAGAAATTACAAAATTGTTACTAGAAGGAGTCTCAAGTTCACAAGCTGGTCACCTACGATGCCTGCATGAGTTTGTGGAAGCTCAAACTCGTCACTATGCACAGTGTCATGCTACTATGCAAGAACTGCAAAGGGAATTAGCAGGGTAAATACTTAAAATATTATTTTTATGCTAGTATTAACTTGATAATCATCGAAAATCCCGCACAACTCTATTTTTGTATCTGCAATATTTTTTAATGCAGCTACCCTACTCTTGAGTGATCCGAGTGAGTAATGTTTAACATAGATTGTAAGTGGCGTATATTTACGCTGTTGGTAATTAGATATTGCTTGAATCATTACTCATTCGTGAATTTTATATAAGTTTGCTTAAGTAATTTTGAGAATTGCTATGAAACATATGTCTACATTATACATTAATAATTTGATGTGTATCTAACTAGCTTAGCTATTAAAATTTTTATTTAATGGCATGGTGGAATATTGAATAATTTTTCTGTAAAATTAAACCATATCTCAAGAAATTTTATCGATTGAAAATTTATTCATGTTTTTGCATGCTTGCAGTAAGAATATTAAATGAAATATGAATTGGTCTAAAGTCTCCAAATCTGCTTTGCTTTCTTAGCTTTGCCTTCTCCTGTTTATTGATTACTGCTGTTAAGTTGAATCTAAATTTTTTGATAATATTCTATCTATGCTGGCATGCTTGGGGTTACAGAGCGCGACAACCGAGTCCTCTGCTCCGAGTCAACAGCGAGGAAGTGATCGAGATAAATCCCTCGCCTACACAATCCCAAAACTCGCCTACCCATCTTGCCGGAACAGCTTATGTCACTGCTACATTTGATACAGACATGTCTAAAATATAGTCACTCACATTTAATTAACTTCTGTTCTCACACGTACACTTTGATCCTTAATACTTTCAATTTTAATTCATTCTATTTACAACAACTATATTTTCCTTGCAAATTTTTTATTCGTTCCAATAGACCAATGAAAGAGATTTTGAGTTCATCTTTAAAATAATAATCTTTCAACGATTTTCTGAGATTTCTTTGGAATATTTTTTCAAAATACTGTCTCTATCATATATTTATCTGTCTCAAGTTTAAAAACTGGCATCTTGTGGATTATTAGAAAAATATTTGGTAGACATCAGAAATCTCGTTGAAGATTTTTTATTTTTGTCCCAACTCTGATATTCCTGAAATCGTTATTTGTTAAAAATAATTAAAATTTTTCGGAAATGCTAAAACTTTAAACATACCCCTCTCATTTTATAAATTGTCTCCTTTTGATTCATCTTAAATATAATGAAATTCATGAACTACAAAAAAAAATAATTTTAATTCTTTAAAATTATCCCTTGGTAATATAACTCATAACAGTTTAATCAAATCAAAAAAAATAATTGAGCTATAAAAGGCAATAATAGATAAGGCAGATTCCTGTGCTAGTCAATATAAAAATATTTACATGTTCCTTGTATCCTGTATCTTGATGTTGTTTTATGACACTGTTATCTATTTATAAAATGTCAAGTACGCAGTCTAATGAAAATGTAAATTGATTGTTTAACATAATAAAATTATTTTAGTGTCAGTTAATTTTTGTTTCTAATCATTGTTCAGTGTATGGAATAATTTTCACTTCGTTTTCACTTCATTCATAGTATTACATAAATAATGCATCAAAAATATTAACTTAAGTGTTGTAGTACCTAGTAAATTATTCACTCTTTGTTTTTTCATGTTTATGCATGTGTATCATTATTATCATTAATCAAATTTTCCTATAAGTGTGTTTCATTATTGGTTTGCAATTACAATCTCAACAAAATTATTAAGGGTAATATTTTCTCATCTAGTTCAAGAACAATCGTTTCTATTTTCTTTTTTTTTAAATAGAGTAGGAAGCGGTTTTTTTGTGAATTTATATGATGGTGGAGGATTTTATTATTTCATAATATAAATATTATTTATGTATAAATTAAATTAAAATATTCAAAGGCTTAAATCAAAATGATAAAGTACACCAAATTAGTATAAAAATTCACAATGCGATTCATCAAAAATTATTGCACTACCTAGTGTTTTCATTCCTTTTGAAACTTTGTCCTACCCAGTTTGCCAGGCGGTTTTCATCCATCTACTGCTCCAACAAATAGTAGTGCTGAACCTGTAGTAGAAAATGGACAAGAAAGAGCACGTGTTATCTGCGATTACACTGCACGAGATGAAGAAGAACTTAGTGTAAATCAAGATGAGGTAACTAAGTTTGTCATTTGAGGACGCATGCAACATCCTGATCCTGATTAGATGTACAACATCACATTTAGACATTTTAATTACACTCTTGTTTAAAAAACAGGTGTTAATTATCATTTAGTTAATACTTTTTTTACATAACAGCATTTATTTATATTACATTTGTAGCGACTCATGAAATATTATTTATTTTGTAAATTTTCTATTTCTACTCATTTTTAATACATATATTTTTAAATATATTATCATTGTATACTTTTTCATCATGTAGTTTGCAGAAAAAATAACATTATTGAAAATATTGAATATGTTTATAAATCAAGAGAATATTTTTTCATTTATACTGATGGATTGTGTTTTTTGTGAGGTTTTTGTATAAGCTAAAACAAAAATGGCAATAGTTGGAAAGTAGATATTTGTGACATTGCAATCATAAAAAAGATAATTTTTCTATGATAAATTGAATTTCTTCGGAAATGAACGGTGAACGAATTTAAACAATATAAAAATGATAGTAATGTCATAATACTTGAATAATATAGTTTTTATTTGAAAGTAAGATTTATCTATTTGTTGAATATTAATCTATCATCACAGATCTAATTATTGTTTACGAGATTAAAATTTTATTGTGTAATTAGAGCATAATAATTATAAATTCATGCAAATATTTTTATAACTATTCCATTGGATTCACTACATACATTGAGATTTTCAATTCTCATCATTAGTGCAATTGTTAAGTGGTGTTATCATATTAACATACTCATAAAAAAATAATATTATATCAAATTCCATTATATATTCTCTTGGAAGAAAGTTTTCAATTTATTGATTAATTATGTGTAATAAAAAATTATTATAATTTTAATTAGTTCGTAAATTACCTGTATGGTTAAACTGAAATTGTGGGTTTAAATTTTTTTTGTATCATTGAATTTCGATTGTGGATGTATTTTTTTATTGTTGTAAATAGATAATATAATTTTTTTTCAAATAATGTAACAATAAATATAGACTATTATTTTTTAGCATGATGCATATTTTTTGCTTTTCCTTTCTAACGCATAATATTCAATTTGTCCAATATTGACACATTTTTTAGGTCATAATTGTTAGAGAAATTCCTGGAGATGAAGATTATATGCTTGGTTTTCGGGGCAAACAACTTGGAAGAATACCTAAGGTTTATTTAGAAATCCTCTCATATCAATAAAATTGTGGTTCAAAATGGCTTGAGCTACACTTAAATACTTAGCTGGACAAATAAATAATGAAATTTCAATATTTTCCAATAAGCTAATGAACTATATTGAAATAAAAATTACCAGTTCAATTAAAACAATGAATTTTAGAATGTGATAAATAAGAATTTATGAGTTATTAGCTATTTAATGCAACAATACACTGTACAGTATTATTCGTGCAATTGTAATAAACAATAATGCTTCGTAAGAATTGTCAAATTATATTACAATACATCTATAAAATATATAAATACTGCCTATTATGTTTAAAATGTATAAATTTAATGTGTTTTTGTAGATTCTAATATTTGTTGAAAGACCAAGAATATAGAAATGTATATTTATGTATGTAAAGCTTACAGATTATATAAATAAAACAAACTAGATTCATGTTGAAAATTTGTTAATTTTATTAACTAATATACATTTAAATATTGTAAAATTATTAGTAATTTAAATAATAATTAACTTCTTCCTAGAAACATCAATCATACAACATGTCCATCAGTTGTTTTTGTTTGTTAACAACGTGAATTTTTCTAAATATTTTCGCTGAATTGTATAAGTGCAAGTCAGTCAGTTCTCTAATTTATGGATTAAACTATTTCTTCTTCAGTAAATTCACCTGCCGTGCTTTTCTCGGTTCACGTAGGCCAAAAGTCGTCTTTCTTAGCCAAAAGGTTAACATATAGTTTTTTACAATTTCATGAATCGCAATCATTAACAATTCGACTTTTTTATTGACAAAAAAACCATTTCTTCAGTTATATGCATTGAAAAATAATTTAGTTTTAACAGAAAAACAAATCGAATATTTTTATTTATTCGCAGTTTAGGCTGGCACAATTTTTTTTTCATAACTCCAGGTATGAAAATAACATTCAACGTCCGGAAAATTCTACTTTTGAACCGCTGGTATAGTAAGATGTTAAACGTTGAAAATTCATATATTAGCTCTGGGAAAAACAGAAAATCTCATTCCAGAAAAGTCGATAACGTCGCGCGCCCGGGGTCTTTCTTTTTTTGTCTGGGAAAAAATAAAGCTCCAGAGTACGCATGGCGTTATCGATTTTTCGGGAAATGTGAAGTTTTGTTCTTGATTTGATTGAGATAATAATGGCCGATAATTATTCATTGCACGTCAATAATTGATTACTTCCTTTCGAAGATGTGATGTATGATCTCGGCTAGAATCGAACAATCGAAGATACACTCTTTCGAGCAATAAAATCATTAAAATCATAAAAAGTCTCAATTTTCACAATGCGTTAATGGAAAGTTTCAAAAGCAGCGCTTCATCCCCTCTTTTTCGTATTAAATCCCGGAGTCAAAGTGGCACTTGCTCTCGCAGCATCTCTGCGCGAACCACCTCACCGGCGAGCGAGCACGTACTGTGTCGTATATACTCGTACTCACACATGTACAATGCACTGGGGCAACCCGCACCAGTAGAAGAAAGTAATACGTTTATGCGCGCGCACACGATGATTCCACTCTCTCCCCGTTCTCCGCCCTCTTTCTCTCTCTACAGTCTACCGTGTTTATGCGGCGGCTGCAGCACAAGTAAAGCTGAAAGCAGCAGGCGCACTGCGCGAATATAAGAAAGAAGGCGGCGAATATAGCGAGGCCCCGTGTGCGCTGCGTCGCTCGAATGAACTACAGTCAGCCGTGTCAGGTACACACTTTTTTACGGTCGGCCAGTATCATGGTTGATGGCCTGCCTAGCAGTACACACTCTGCGGCGCTTCTCTCTCGGAACTGCTCCGAAAGTACTTATACTACTACTACTACTCATGCTACTGCACTACGGTTGTAGTCGAGCACGATTACGATCTCTGTGATCCCATCCATATATTCTTCGACTACCGTTGCTGCTGCTGCGGCTGCTGCTGCTGCTGCTGGTGTGCATGTGTTCCTCTCTTGTGTGCGTGGTGGTGCTGTGTGTTTATATGCCGTTCAGCCGAACTACATCGTGAGAAACTCTCTCTCTCTCTTTTTCGCTCGCGACAACGTGAGAAGTTGTGACTCGGTGTGGAGCTTTAATCTCTCTGCACGGCTTGCTGCCCATTGTTGTTCGTGTGTAGCAGTAGCAGCAGCAGCTGCAACGGCAGCATCATCATCATCGTCGTCGTGTCGCGCGCCCCGGCTTTACTCGCGCGAATGTCAAGGCATCGTCGACGGCGGAGCTGCTCCAGTGTCTGCTAAGCGCTGCTGCTGCTGCACACCACCGCAACAACGAGAGTCGCGGGCCCGCGGGAGGAGAATTTCGCCCACGGAGCAGCTCTCTGCTCTCGGGGTCAGAGCCCAGAAAGGAGAAAGACGACAGTGTGCTGCTGCTGCTGCTGCTGTGTGCCGCGGCACATAGCTGCATGCACCAAAACTGCTGCACGCGTGCGAAAACATGGAGAATTTGGGCCAATTGAACGACGAGCCGTACCTCGACAAACTCATCGACCTCAAGAGCCTGGACAGCGTGGCGTGCGAGAACTTCGAGGACCTCATGGCCGAAGTCACGATGGGCTTCGTGTTCGACATGCATCGCCAGCACAAGAGTGGACAGACGGAGTGCGAGGAAGGCATAGCAGACGAAGGTCCTTACACTGTCGTGGGTAAGTGTCATAACACACATCGGCTCAGCCACAGCCAACGAACGTACGTGCCCTCTCTGTGCTTTTTTGTTTGTTATTAATTCATCGTTCGTTTCTCCTGGCTTTTGTTCGCCCTTGCGACGACGACGCAAGTTTTGCGCTGCGAATCATTTCTAAGGCAGCGTGCGTGCGCGCGATGATTCTATATAGCAGCGACTCTTGACACTTCTCGCATCAAAATGTCACACACGGCCGCGTGCGTGCGTGTATATTAAAAATCTTCGCGTTCGCGAGTCGATGCTGTCTCTCGTCAACCGTTGCCCATGCATACACGGCTCGTGTCGGCTCGCTCGCTCGTTTTTGCGTCGAACCCTTGCATTTTTTGTCCGACCTGTGCGACGGAGACCTTGAAATATTTTTTCTTACAGAAATCTTGCTCTCGTTCTCTCGCATGAACTTGACTGATAAAGCCTCGAGCTCTCTTACTCTTGCGCGGTCACGCTGCCACTTTTACCGAAAGTTGGTACGGATTTGTGCGGCAGTTTCAAAAGCCGGTTTAAACGTTCGTCGAAAAAATTTTTCCACTTCAATAGTAATTAAAAATTTCCACATCCACTTGAATGTCAATATTATTGCAGACGTGCCTGGGCTGGACGTGTTCGGCCAGCCACTGACGAGAAAGTCGCCGGACTGCAGCTGTCCGAACTGCGACCGCACCGTGTCGGCGAGTCGCTTCGCCACGCATCTCGAGAAGTGCATGGGCATGGGCCGCAACAGCTCGCGCATCGCGTCGCGCCGCATCGCCAACAGCTCCAAGGATCTCTCCACCTACCAGGGCCTGGCTAGCGATGACGAGGACGACGCCGACTGGAACGCCAACACGGAGAAGCGCAACAAGCGTCGCAAGGAGCGCAACGGAGTCAAGAAGGTGAAGAAGACGAGCCGAGTGAGCACGCCGACGCTCAAGAACGGCGGTGGCAGCGGCGTTGGAGGTGGAGGTGCCGGAGGCAGCAGCACCGTCACCAAGTCCGGCAGCTCGAGTCGCGAGAACTCGCCGACGACCTTCGAGGCCATGTCCATCGAGGACAAGCGAAACCTGCTCAGCCAGATCTGCGGCGTCGTGTCCGAGCACACGAAGAAGCTCTGCACGAGGACGATGCGCTGCCCCCAGCACAGCGAGGACCAGAGACGCGAGATGCGAGCCAGCGTGGAGGCCAAGTACAGCAATGGGGGCGGCAGCGGCTCCTCCAAAGACCCCGGTATGCACGTGGACATCGACGGGTTCGAGGAGGCCGACAGCCGCCACATTCGCGAGAGCCTGACGCGCTGGGAGCAGGAGGGCTCGAATCACTCGAGCCCCGCGGACTCCGCGTCCACGACCTCCAGCAGCAGTCGCAAAACCAAGAAGGGCAAGCACAAGCAGCAGCGCGTCTCGCCCACGGGCATGCACGAATGATCTGCCGCTGCGAGCAGCTTCCTCTTTATTGTTACTGTAGCAGCGCGCGAGTCTTTTTCGAGTGGCCGTTGTCGAGAGAGCGATCGGCATTTTTTTATATACACCTGTAAATATTTACATTAAATTGGGGCTGCGCCCTCGGCTTTTTTTTTTCAAATAGCTCTAATGAAAATGAATGTTTTCGTGTACATATATATTATATATGGTATATATACCATCGAAAAATGAAATATATATAAACATATACATATATATATTGACTTCGACAAAGAAAAAAAAAACAAGTTTTTATTTTCTAAGTTACATTGAATGAAATTATATTTTTTATCAGTAACAGTTACTCGATGTACATAAAGTTGTATGTTTAAGTTTTTTCTTAGTTCGAGAGTAATTGTAAGATTTTGTATTATGATGTTCATTAGCTTCGATATACCTTTAAATAAAAATAGGCCAATACTGCCAGATGTTTGTAATGATTTTTTATATCGTGATTTCTATTAGTATTAGCCATAATAATTATCTGTAATGCGACCAGCAGCTATTTTACAGTTGTCCTATTTTTTTTTTTGCAAATTTAATTCGACACGAGTTGCTAGAAAAAATGATTCATAATAAGCATTTTGGATCATTTTAATTATGTGTGAAAATGATGATTCCTGCAAAATTATTAACTTTGCAGACAGTATAACGTCGTCGAAATTAAAAAATTAACTCTGTAAAAAAAAATATAATTACTCAAATAAAAATTATATTTTACATTAACACTTTATCATTATTACTTTAAAGAATATCCAAAAACCAATAAATCTTCCAACGTACTTTCTCTTATCTTAATGTTGCTCGTTGTACGCTCATTAGAGATAATATTACGATCAGAGATGTGGGATGGCTTTCATAAAATATCGGGTTAATTTGAAAATTAAAAAAACATTTCATGACGTGGCAAAGATATTTTCGAAGTAAAATGTATAAAATTTATATCAAACTAATAAACAAGCAATAAACGTGTTTTTTAAAAGAAAATAACAATGCCCAACCATTTTATTGCATAACAGTTTGATTGAGCAATAGAAAATTTTTATTCAATAATATTACTAAAATTATTCCGAGTCGTAGAAGAAACCGATTAAAATATAGGAATTACAAAAAAGTGATCGATCATCTTATCTGAGTCGGCAATTGGTACAGATGTAACATAAACAATCCACGATCAAATTTTCATCATAAATTCAATGCGTTTGAGTTTCGTGAAAAGATTCATCGTAGTATTATATTCGATTTCGTGGTGGCGCTGGACATCAACTCATGGATGTAAATAAATGCAGTCTGCGAAGTAACAGACAAAATTCTGTCATTCGCGCGAATTCGCACGTTGCGCAGCAAAAGCTATGTGTTTATATTGAGTTATTGACCAAATCGTGATTCTCGATGAAGGAATAAAAAAGAAGTTTACTAAAGCTCCGATGACAATTGTAAAAGCAGCTCTCCTACAAAGTTATTTGGTTAATGTTACGATAAAACATTGAAAATTGTGAAACTTTCCTGTAAATACAACTTTAATTTCTACGAACGGATTTTGTTTTGAATCAAGTTAATTTGTGTAAAATAAAATATGAAGCCAGACGTATATAACGATATTAGACTTAGCATAAAACTATTCAAAGGTCTCTCAAGACATTGTGGAAAAATGCTTCAGAGCACCTATCCAAGGTATTCATAGTTATTGAAAGGTTATATTGATGCAATAAGAACGACTCAAATTGTAATATAATTACCTTTTTTATTACAGCGTTGATAGAAATACTTTGTTGAGTATACTTCAGCAAGAGATTACTCAACGAATGAAAGTTAATCATTCAAAAGTTTTTGGAAAAGATAAATCTTACTATGGAGCGTATGTATAATTTCTATCAATTTCCTAGTTTCCCTCATAATTTAAATAAACTTTTGAAATGTAATATAATAATATATGAAACTTCTTAAGTTATTTAGAAGCTGTTCAAAAAGGAGAATCTGCTGGAATATTGTTGAGGATGGCAACCGCACTTGAAACTTGTCCTATGTTATTAGCTAAGCGTATTTTAAAATCTTGCTATGATCCAGAAGACAAAAGTAAGTTTTTTAGGATAAATCAACTTGTTTTTTAATTTATTTACATAATAATTTTTTTTAGTGAATAATAAGGACCTAAACAAACTAATGCATGATACAACTTTAATTGAAGATGCAACACTAGCATATGAAATTTATTTGGTAACGTAAATGTATTCACTTGAATTGTTTACATTTTATTTTTTTTATATTCTTAATCGAATTGCATTCCTCATGTATAAATTTTAATTTGATTTTCTAGTGTGTTCTTTTTGATGATCAAAATGGTCCAATATCAAACTCAATTAAAGAGTGAGTTTTAAAATATTTTAGAACATATTTATAATAATTTATAGAATTCAGGCACATGATTAAATATATCTAAAAATTTTTAGCTCTATTGGTAGAGAATATGAATTGAAATTAGAGCGACTTTTAGACAATCGTAAAATTCCATTTCATAATGAAGAATTCCTTAGAGCAAAAGGATATGACAAAACACCAGATTGTAAATTAATTTTACCAATTGCTGTAAATGGAAAAATTATAAATTGGATTGAATCCAAAGCTCAGTTTGGTAGTCCAACTGTTCATCAAAGATATCACAAGGAACAATACTCTAGTTATTGGAATAGATTTGGAACTGGATTAGTAATTTATTGGTTTGATTTCTCAGATGATATTATAGACACAGAAGAAAAAAGATACATTGTTATGAATAAATTTCCTGAACATATAGTTACTATGGATCCTAGTGCCATCAAGTGATAGTTAAACGGAGAAAAAATTGTACATAAATATTTTTAATCTCTTGTAATTAGTGCTTCCAATAGCAATGTAACGTCGTGATTGTCTCTTTTATAAACTTAAACTTAAATGTATGTAGCTTGTTATTTGCTCTACTTACTTGGACATAACAATTAAAAATTAATTTAAATCTTATTGTAATGGAAAGAAAATTACAAATTTGTTTTGAAACGGTGAAAATTTTGATTTAAAAACATCTTTATAACAACTTTGAAATAAAATATTTTTATTTTATCAATGTTTCAGAAAAGATGTTTGGCACAAATACTTAATGTACAATAATTTTTCTTTCATATTCATAATGTTATTTAGAAATGAGTAGGGTGAATACACTATTGAGAATATATATCTATATTCAATAATAAAAACAGAATTTTATAGTAAGAATCACTTTTTATTAGTAACATAATAAAAGTGTGCATTACAAATTTTTATGTTATGACATGTAAACATTTTTGAACCACAGTATGTTGAATATCGTGCAGCATAATTTTTAAATGTTAATAGTAAAAAATGTAATAATGTTATAAAAAGATATTCATGAATGTCATTAACAATAAACATCACATATTTTTAAAATTATCAGTGATAAACTTTATTCAGAGCTTATTATCATTAATATTCACAGTTTGTTCATCATAAATATTTACAGATATTAAATGATGTTCTTGTAATAATAAATTAGGAACGTCAGTTACGAAAAACTGAATAAAAACACGCAACATACAGCTAAAATATACAACTTTTTATTACTGATGATTTGCGACAATTTGATTTTCGGATCATGGCAGCTTCCAAACCCAAGCCTTACATTCCATTGGAGCAGATTCTGATTTTGATGGCCAAGTACGGAACTCGTGAGGTTCAATCACCACAGGAGATTCGTCAAAATAATCATGTTTCAAAGCATCTTCCGCTGAAATTCGTTGCTTTGGATCGTACGTTAAGAATTTCTCGAGTAAATCGATGCCTAGCTCCGTTAAATTATTGATGATTTTTCTGATGTCGCTCTTCGGATAAAACGGAATATACACATCTTTCATTCCCGGTAATTCGCTGAAGCCGGGCCAGATTGTATCGTTCGGTGTACCTAACAGAAGAAATATTCTTCTTAAAAGGTCAGCCTCATCAGTCGCTCGGAAAAGACCTTTTAATATGAACAATTCGGCAAAGATACATCCGACCGACCAAAGGTCGATGGGCGTACCGTAGGGTGCACCGCCAAGTACTAATTCTGGAGCCCTATACCACAACGTTACAACTTGTGACTCGTATGATTCTATAGGGAATTTGTATTCTTCTGCTATGCCTAAATCGGCAATCTTCAAAACTCCTTTATGGCTCAGTAATAAGTTTTGTGTTTTGAGATCTCTATGAAGAATCCGATTGTCGTGCAAGTATACCACGGCACTCAACAGTTGACGCAGCAAACATTTGACTTCGCTGGGACGAAATTCTAGATTGTTATCTCTCAGATAATTCCTTAGAGATTGCACATCATGTTCGATATAATCCATAACCATGTATAAATCCCTATTATAATTCCCAATGACGGTTTCTCGACAATTAATAATGTTAGGGTGTTGAAGTTTCCTCAGCATCGCTATTTCATACAAGCCTAAATTTGGGCTTCTAAATTTTTTGATGGCAACGATCTCTCTAGTTTTATTTTCTTTCGCTCTATAGACAATACCACAAGATCCTTCGGCTATAAGATTCAAGTGTGTATACTTTTCGATGCTTCGACTTGTCGAAGTTATGCAGTCAGGAATAGCCGGAACCACAATATCGGTGAAGCCAGATAGATCTACAGAAGAACATTGAGCGTTCGAAGGCATGTTTTGGCACGAAGAATTCTCGCTCCTCTCCACATAGAAATTAGGTTTGTATCCTTCGGTCTGCACCATGCTACGGTTGTATTTGTACTTCACCAAGAAACACTGTTATTAACTAGAAACTAAACACTAATTAGAAACACTGGCAGTTATTCGTGTGCTCTCACTTTCAAGTTTAAAAGACGACTAAGTACAATGAGCAGCTTGTACGATGCGCGCTTCCGGCACATACAGAGGCGGTGCTGCCGGCTGGATAATGGCATCAAATCGAAGAGTTTAAAGTTAAATAGGCTTCTCCCACGCCTAGTCGCTTTGAGCATATAGTAGACGGCAACAGAGAGGTGGAAATCTCAAATAGAGATCATCATTTCTAAAATTCCATAATTTTGTTCACTTTCTCTTTTTACGCATTTTGACGGTTTCGTACACTTTCTCATTGATCATGTTTGCCTGATAAATGGGAAGTTGTAAAGATCTGCATTTTGACGTTTGCACACGTGCTCCATGAGAATAGTCCAAATCCATAATTTTGTAAACTTTCTCTCTGATCATGTTTTCCAGATAAATGGGGAGTTGTGAAGATCCGCATGTTGATGTTTGCACGCATGCCAAATGAGAATGGTCAAAATCTATAATTTTGTACACTTTCTCTTCTATCACAGTAACTCAAAAAAGAGAAAGTCTACTAAAGAAAAGTCACAGAAATATTAGAATGATTGGCCCAAGCATACGCCTCTGATATCAGTGGAATGGTTCGAGGTTCGATTCTCGGTTAAACCACTTCAGAGCCTTCTTTAAGATTTTTTTGCAAGGGAAAATCTTTTTGTTTTCTCGTGTTACAAGCGTTTTTAATTTTTTACTAATTCACATCCCGCGTTTTGTAAAAACAAAACAGTGGCAAAATTAAGGGGGAAAAAATTATGTCAAAATTATCGATTTAGCTCGTTTTCCATAGTTTTCCCATAGTTTTTTTTTGAAATGTGGTTTTTAATTATGGAAAAACTATGGGAAATGAGTTGAATCCATAATTTTGCCATCATTTTTTTCACCACAGTTTTACCACAGGTTTATTTCCACGCGGGCACAATTTATCAATAATGAAATAATAATATTAATAATAATAATCATAATAATCAAAATAATGATAAATAATTAATCTTCAAAATGTAAAATCAATTGATAATACAGTATATTATTGCCATAGACTGCGAAATACAGAAAAGTCCCAGAGTACGTGTAATTAGTGGCAGAGAGGAAGCCAAGGCCGATGAACATGTGCTTTGGAGCTTTCTTTTTTCGCGGCATAGGCCTGTATGCTATTTTTCATATTCAGTGGGCCGAAAATCACTCTTCCCGTTTTGCGCAGGGACAGGAAAGTAGTCGCCTTCGAGCTGCTGGTATGAAAAATGTTTCCATTCTGAATAATTTTAGGAATTAGAAATTATATTGTTTTTTCGCTGAAATCTGAGGTATTTTTGATATGTATATTCTACATCGAAAATTGCGGACTTTTTGGAAATCCACATAGTATACATGAATAGGATTTTCTTTGGAAAAATCTTTTGCGTACTTTTCTGATTCTCGATAATAATCATTAAAATCAAACGAGAGCGAAAGCGAAAAGTAGCGAGTGAAATTGCGATATTCTAGCTGATCGCTGCATGTAGCTCTGTTATATTTGCCAGATGGAGCGCGGCATGTGCTCCTCGATAATTTGCGCGAAGGCATGGCCTCGGCCGCCAGTGAGCGTATATGCATACCTATACACGAACATCGCTGCAGCATACAGCACAAGCTCGCAAGCACTGGTAGTAGTAGTAGCTAGCAGTGGTACTCGTTTTTGCGCACGCGTGTTTATTTATAAAAAGAGTGCGTCTCTCTTTCTCTCTTGTCTTTCTGCTGCTGCTGCTGCAACAGCTGTATCGCCCGCAGCGGGCTACGTTTCGCTGGCTAGTGTACAATGTACAGCAGGGCATACTGGCCAAAGCGCGCGCGCGCGCAAATTTAACAGCTGCACTACAGCAGCAGCAGCAGCAGCACATATATAAGCTGACTGTGGCCGCCGCCGCTGTTCAGACCGCCGTCGTCGCTCGACCTTTGCCGAGTCCTCCTCGTGCGGCTCTACCACCGCCGCCGCCGTCTCCGCCGCTTCCCGAGAGCCGCATACAATACGCGTGCGTGCGCGTACACATTCATAATATACACGTGTATGTACGAATGTAAAAGCTGCAGCGCTATACACAAGCTCGGATCGCGCGGCGCGTGTCCTCGAAAAGCTCCCGCGCGTCCTTTGGGCCGACGTGCGTATACAGAGAGAGAGAGAGAGAAAGCGAGAGAAAGATATATAATAGACCGCGACGCGCAGTGGCTCCCGCAGGCTATACAGATCTGTATCCTACACGAAAATTGTACAACGAGCCTGCGTATTTACTCACGCACAGTCGTTTTCGAGTCGTCGCTGATGCTGATGCTGATCTATTCAAAGGTACGTGGCTACAGACTACATTACCATAGCTACTCAATTTACATCTCGAGCGATATCGCTCATCCCTCTTCGAAACTCGACCGCGAGCGTGTGCGCGATGCGAAATTAATGCGAAAAACTCGAGCTTGCAACGTATAGCAATTATCGAGCTCCAACTGCGGTCGATATCTTTGCAAAATTATCGCTCGTTAACTCGGCGAAAGAGGCGAAAGCGCGTATACTCTCGCAACGATGCTGTTATAATGGACCTCCTCCTTGTGCAGTGTTTTCGATGTGTGTACGTCCGTCCGTGTGTGCGTGCGTACAAGTGTGCGGCTGTGCGTAATATAATAAAACACACGCATATCCATTCAACGTGTATACGTCAGCGAGAGCTTGCGGAGTTTATTTTTTACCTCCGTCCAGAGCTCTACGTAACTGGACGAGCCGTTTGTGTGCGCGCCGCCAACAAATTGCAACGCTCGCGTTGGCTGTTATACCCTATGTGCAGAGCTTTTGTGTATACATACACAAACCGACGTGCGTCTAGATGTGTATGCATAATACCTGCGGCACTGCTTTCTCTCTCTCTCTTTCAGCTCGTCTGTTTTCCATGCGCGCTCGTGAATCATTACCTGTTTATTTTTTCACTTTTGTTTCGATACCTAAAGGTATATTTGCTCAGATCCAAGTCGGAATACGCACACCCGGGTGGGCGAGCGATTAATTTTCGCGCGCGTTTACGTATCGATTCACGTCAATTTTCTCTTTCTGTTTTATTTGTTTTATTTTTTCAAACTTTTACGAATACTTTCGGATTATTCAATTTGACACATTGTTACAACGATGAAAATGTATACACGATGCGCATTGCCAGCCAGACGTCGCATGTCTACGTCGCCGCCGATCGCAGTATATATAAACAAGGAAAACACGTTGATCCGCTTTCTGTGCCTTCGCTCGTATAAAATATAGGTATACGAGCAGTAAGGCGGTAATGAACACGTGTATAGCGCATAAGCTCGCAAGCTCTCCTCGAGTATCGTCGTCTATACTATGCGCGACTGTTGCGGCGACTGCGGGATTATTTCATGGCAAGCGAGAAAGCCGCGCGATATAACTCATCTTTGCGCGTCGCGACATAAATTTTCAGCAATTAGAGGCGATTTTCACGCCTATGTGTGTTAGCGAGCGTCGTCGTGGCAGCTGCAGCTGCACATTACGGCCAGAAGATACACACTCGCGTACAGGGGCAACGCAACGTAACGAATGAAAATTTCGATGATATTTTATTTTTAACGCTTGTTTTAGAGCTTTAGGCCGTGTCTCTTTTCTCCCTCTTTCTCTTTGTCTTATACATACAAAACGAGAGGCTCGAGTTTGTATGCGTATTTGCGCAACACACATATCCACGCGCGACTGGTTGGCTATAATCAAACTTGGAGTATTCGTATATCCGTGGCGATACGGTAACACAATATACCCTTTACCATCGCAGCTCGCAACCATATCTTTATCGTATCAAGTGGATGTGATTCCGTGAGAGGCAGTATTCTACACAACGCGTATATACACTACAGCGATTAATATTGAGCTTTCGAGCTCTCGTGCCGCTGCTGCTCGCAACGACACCCGCGCTTGAAATAACGCGTCGAGTGTTTCTCGCTCGAGTGCAATTTGCGGTCGAGAATCCACCAGCGAAGGAAAGAAAAAAAGAGACCGAAAAGAAAATGTTATATATAGCGAATCGTGCAGACGCAAAAGAATTTCGTCGCTTTTACTCTCCTTCGTGCAATCCACGATATTACTTTTCCGTGTGTGCCTCGATATAATATAATGTAATAAAGCTTTTTCCCGCAAAGTGTGTATACGATATATATCTCAATGCCGATGTTATTCACTGGATGCGCGGCACGTGTGTGTACGTTGTGTATATATTTCGATGGAATACATCCAAAGCGCGCGCCCCTGTAGTCTTTTCGGAATTAGACCAGTCGAGAATAACCAAGTTATTCATCGATCAATCTTTTAGCAATATGCTCGCGAGCTTTCATTGTTTTCTCGTCTCTCAGCTTACTCTCTTTCTCTCTCTCTCTCTCTCTCGCTCGGCAGTTATTTTTAACGAGTATAATTTTCTATCCTATATATCGCCCCGCAGCCGCTTGTGTATATATAGTACCGTCCGAATCGAGAACATTAGAGCTTTTCACTTAGTCATTACACGAGTAAATAACATTTATGTGTATTGAACGCGCGCGGGGGGCGAAACTCGATATGCTCTCCGTGCTGTCGAGTGAGAGAGAGAGAGCTAATGTTTGGATAAAAGCCGCGAATCGCCCGGGTAAACTTTGTGTTGCGCGCTCGAAAGATCTCGTGCCTGGCGGTTTGGACGTGTATATAATATGCATCATGCACAGGCCCATCGCGCGCGTACCAGCCAGTGAAACGTTATCACGTGCCGTCGGGCTTCTTGATTGCACCATTTCGACTGCGATGTAATATGCGCGTGATTCATATCCTGTACATAGACGACGCAGCTAAATGCAAGCTTGATTAACAATCATACGTCTGATTCATAGATGTATCGATAACTACTACATGTATGTATACTTTTTTCTGTCCTCTCTCGTCGACGTAGATAGCAGCAGCAGCAGCAGCAGCAGTCCTGAAATTATTGGTCTCCAGCCAAGATTGGAAGGCAATATTTTTCCCGTCGTAGTTGTCGCCGCGTGACGTCGTCGTCGGGGCTCCGTCGATTATTATACTATATCAGAAGAGCCGCTCTCCGAGTCAGGGAATGAGCAAAATACTACCTTGATCCTTGGAAAGAAGAAGAAGAAGCAGCAGCAGCAGAAAAAGTCCGAACGATCGCGTTTATTTATACATACGTTTGTTTTTTTTTCTCTTTCTCTCCTCTTTTTCAATTTCTCGCTGCCTTTCCGTTTCTCTCGCGCTCACTTTTCGGTGCGATTCATTATTCATACGTGTCAAAGCTCACTCGCTCGCTCGCTTGCGCTCTTCATCTATATGTTATTGTTACAATACACACATGGCCTCGGCTCCGTCAAAATCTTTGTGCGAGCTTGAGACGGCGATGCCTGCGAGACTCTGGATTTTCATCATTGTCATCTGAAATCGATAACTTACCGAAGCAGGAGCTACAGCAGCGGTAGCGGCAGCTGTGTATAGCATATAAGAGAGGAATAAAACATAAACGAGACTACAACAATGTCGAAGGAATCCTCCGCGATAAAAACGGCCCAGCATATTCCAGCCATCAAGATATTGCCGGCTCAGCTGGCGAGGTTGAAGAAAGAGGTGGGTTCCGACGTTTGCTATTATTTATTATTCATGCCGATGGGATACTGCGTATCGTATGACGTATATCTAGCTATTGTTACGTTTACTTATTGTTCAGTTGACGTTTACTGATTCAATTAAGCATTATTGAATCGATGCGATCTATGATAATCAATTTTTTATTCATTTGAATTTTCACTCAACTGGTATAAGAGTCCGAACTAATCGAGATAATCGTGTGGTTTATCGACAGGAAGAAGAAGAAACATGGATATCCGGCGAGGAGCTGTACACGGAAGGCAGTAGCGACGAGGAAAACAGCCACAGCTGCGCCAAGCCGACTCTGCCCAAGTCGTCGTTCTCGAAGATTAACGCGCTGCGTCAGCAGCAGGCGAGAACGAGATCGACGGAGAAGCGGGGCAAATCGAGCCTGGCCATAGAGTCGACGTCGTCGTCGCGGCAGGCTTCGTTGGAGGATCATCATCAATCGTCGCCGCGCAGCAGCATGAGTGACGAGGAGTACGTGCCGGACGACGAAATCTCGTGGAAAGTCAATCGGGGCGCGGGGGCGAGGCAACAGCAGCAGCAGCAGCAACAGACTCGACTTACCGATAGTCAAGATTTCTTGCAACACTCCTGATACAGATCCTATTATTGCGTATCGTTAAGCTATCCCGTTTCAGTCTCGAGCATTTAAAAAGTCGCTTCTTTCAATGTTGACAACTGTATAAATTATTATCTACTTGACGATCTGTTCGAATAAATTTAAGAATATTTGTTGTTCTTTTTTTTTTTAAGAATGTATTTTATGTTTTGACAATGCTCATGGTATAAGATGCTATTATATGAATTAAGGTGTTCTTAAAAGAATCACGTCAAATTTTAATCAAAATATCAAAGGAGCTTTTATAAATAAGTGTGAATAGATGAATGAAAAAAAAGTTTGGTCCAGAATAAAATAAAGCTTTTTTTATAAATAACATTTTCATTCTAGATCATTTTTTATTTGATACTATTTAGAATGTAAAATTCATTAGCAGTATGCACTTTATAAAAGTCGTTTTTACTTTATACAATATTTTCGATTTTAAAAAATAATTTATAATACTATTTATTTTTAATTAGATTAGATCTATAGCGAAGAGCAAATTTTATGCTTTATCTTTCTTTTTTTTATCTGAAACTGTATACTTATCGTACGTTTTGGTTGGATCATACGGTTCCCATCTACTAGCTGGGAATATATGTTTGTTTCTCTCATACCATGATCTGAGTAATACTTTACCCGCATGTGATTCTTGGGTTTCAACTGATGCATCGGATACCATTCGCACATCATCATGTACATCAAAAGTGAATAGGGGCCCACTTTTACCTCTTGCTTTTGTTACAATAAAATCATAAAATGTATAATGGTGAGGAAGAATCAAATCTTCTTTAACATACATCAGTTGATCAGCCATTACAGTTTTCAATTCACTGAATTCTTTCCGCAATACTTCAAGACATCTTTGAAGAAGTTGGTAGATGGAATTGCCTGAAAAATAATTACAATAATAGAAAATGTACTGAATATTTATTTATTACTACAGTAATTTTATAATTTGTTGTTACCTTTTTTCATTGTAACACTTCGTCTGTGTCCAGAGCCATCCCAATAACTGAATACAATTTCAATCTCTTCCTCTTTAAGAGCATTTTGTTTCATAGCCCACTCTTGTCTCAATTCTTCTCTTAATCGATTTTCTTCTTCCTCTCTTTCACGATCAGGAAGAAAACTTGTGTCAACATCTGGATTCTTTTTAGGCTTTTTTGGAATAATTGGTTTCTCTTCTTTTGGAGGTTTAATGACAAGTTCTTCCTCTGCCTCTTCTTCTTCATTTTCATCAAGATTAAACGATAAAGCTTGAATTTGTCTTTTACGCTTACTTTTTTCTGCTTGTTTTGCTGCTAAGGCTTTTTCTTTCTCTTGTTGTTTCTCTCTCTCTTTTTGGGCAAGTTTTTTCTCACGTTCTTTCACAATGATTTCTTGCTTGGCTTTCATTTCATCAAGTGTCACCAAACCAATTGTAGACGTTTTGAGTTGCTGCTCAACCGCATTGTAATGTGTAGCAAATTTGTTTTCAATATTGTGAATTTTCAATTCACTTTCAATCTTCTTCTTTCGCAATTCAATTTCTTGCTGTTGAATTTCTCGTTTCTTCATCAGTTGCATTGCTCTGCCAGCCTCGCTGGCAGCTCCTTTGTAATGAGCCATTGTCTGTGAGTGATTAAAAGATTTCCTAAATAAAGCAAGCTATGAACCTGTAAAATAATAAATAATTAGAATTTAATGTTTGTAAAAAAAATAAAAACTCATGTCAATTTCAAAACAAACTTTTTCTAAGAAATATTATATTATAACCTAGTTCTGTTAGAATGTTCTAGAAAGGAATGTAGTTTTCAATCATTTTTTGCTCTAGCACACATCAGACTTGTGAAAAATAAAATGAAATGCTTACCAACTAGCCACTTACAAGTTTAAAAAGCGCTTGAGCTCGATAACTAATTGGATACTGCTTGACACAAATGAAAACACAACGAGCTTGAAACTTCTGTTTACGATTGACCACGCACCCACAGTCACTGACAATTGTGCAGCCAGAATAGTCGTCTGCTAGCTGCGCCAGTAAAGAAACGATGATCGATCGAGCAACGAAAGGAGACTCACAATCGCTTGCAGATTTTGCCGTGCGGGGGCTCTGGTGGTCGATAAGCAAAGGCGGGGCTTCGATCGAGTGACTTTTATTCGACGAACGAGTTATCAAATGTCCCGCCCCGTGTATAAGTTCATGCGAATGTCTTGATATTGTAAAGAAGTGAAAGTCCCGATATTGAATTAGATCAGAGTCTCTCTTTAACGAAAACGGCTTTATCAGAATCGTTCCACTAGCATATTATGTTTTACATTACTTGCAGCAATTTATTCATGAGATTATACTTTTCAATGAAAAAGAAATGAATTTTCGATATCATGAACACCCAATGGTTAGGCACTCCATTGATACGCCCGTGTCGAGTGAGAGTCCATGTTATTAGATCGTGACGATAGAACACTAAAATTATTACATAAAAATAACTGGTATGAATTTAACCGATTTTTTCGTAACATTGCACGTTATTCCATGACTTTTTTATTTATAGTGAAATGTAGCTGATTGATTGAAAAACTGAGGAAGGTATGATTTGCAAAAGATTGATACTTATAAATATTTTAAACCTCAAGCGTTAAACCTCCAATAAAAAATCAGTCTTCAAGTCCATACTGATATTTCATAACTTAAAAATCATGTCTTAGAAATGAAATATGAGATTTTTCTCAAAACTGACAAAATAATAGAAAAACGACTAACAGATACAATTTTTTGAAATCATCCGATATTCCAAAAAGTCGTATATATGAAGACAGTAATTCGATTAATCATTTTACTAGCTCTTAAAGTTTGAGAGAGTTAGATTATAACCAAATTCAATATTTTAATCGTTTTTTAATGACATACCCTAGCGGGTGGATTTCTAAGATAAAGACAGTAGCTCCCTATCATAGGTGAGTTATAAGCAGCTCCAAAAATCAGAAAAAGTCATTTGTGAACACGATTTTGTAAAGTGAACATCGGGCCCCGATTATTTAGTGAGATTATTTTTTTAAATGTTTCAAAATTTTCTGAGTACTAGTAAATTCTTTAATGTCATTAAAGTAATAAACAAATGATGGTTTTCGCGTGGTTGAGGAAATTATTCCAACGCTTCAAAGCGAAAAAAACTCCCTCGAAAAAGTTCCGTGATCAAGAACAAAGGTTGACTATAAATAAATTAATTAAAGAAGAAAATGAAAAACTAGAAAAGTGCGTGCAAGAAAAAGTGTCAATTTTACAGATAAAACTTGATCAAATAAAAGATCGTGTCAAAAAATTTGAGGATGTTGAAGTTTCATCTGCTAAACCATCATTGCTTTTCGATACAAGTGAAGTTAGAACTCATACTAAAGAAGAATTTTACTCTAATTTTATGCCAGTAAAAGTTGCACCAGAATCCAACGATTATTTCGTAATTGACGGAACCACTTTATTATACAAGTTTTGCTGGAATAAGAAAATGTCCGTCGATACATTGATTAAAACATATGTTCACTACGTTAAAGAACACTATAAGGGTAATTGTTTAATAATATTCAATGATTACGTCGAAAATGTTGATCACGAAGCAGATTTCGACGAGAGCAGTACGATTTTCACAAGCGAGAAGATATTTCATAGCAAAGCCGCCGACAGAATCCACTTGGTGCAATTGATACGAAAAGAACTGCACAGATACAATTTTCGAACGAAATTTGTGAAAGGAGAGGGAACGTTGCAGATCGTCGAAGCAGCCATTCAAAAAGTCAATAAAAAGTACAAGACTTGGATAGTCGGAGAAGACATAGACTTACTTGTAGTCTTCGCTGCGAAAGCACAAAATCTGGACAATATTTTCATGCTCAGACAAGGCAATGGTTTCAAGTTTCAAGCGTTCGATGCAAACAGTTTCATTCATCCCGGGATGCAGAACATTATATTATTTTTGCATGCTTTTTCGGGATGTGACACGACTTTTTACTTCAATAACCGTGGGAAAAATATGCTTGTGAGAAAATTGATAAAAAAGAGTCATTTAGTTCCTTATGCAGAGAAATTTTACAACAAATATTCGAATGATGCAGAAATCGTCAATATTGGTCTCAACATCGTTCAAGAGCTGTTTCCCGATAGAGAATTAACCGGGTTAGATAAGTTGCGTACGATCCAGCAAATTCATCGCACATATCTTCAAATACAATCATGGCTTGGAAATTACAGATAGAAGATTAATTAATATAAATTCAAATAGTTACCATGTTTAAATGTTGGTCAAATGGATAATACTGTAAGATTTTATAATATATTGTAAATATTGTAAATAAATACATTGTTAAGATATTTCTATGATTAATAATTAATTAATTCATTAAGTCATCATGTAATCATTATATTAATGCTATGTGAAATAAGGAAATGAATATTTATTCAAGACATATACTTTGAAATAATTAGAAATTATAAACTATTTTCACTGTTCCCTATAACCTCTTTTATTGATGATGCCTCCTCCAATTCCTTATTACGGGTTTGTAACGTTGTTATTGTTTCTTCGAATTTTTTAAACAGTTATGTAATTACGTGAATGGGATAACAAATCAACTTAAGTAAAATTAAGATGAAAATGCTCCTGACATGTGCCACCTCGAGTATAAAAGTCGTGAGCACATAAAACACCCTTAAATTAAAACTACAAGCACATTCAGAGGAAAATTAGTAATTGAGCTAACCCATCGTATTATTACTAATATGATACAATTTATTCTAAAAATCTAAAAATTTTGTTCGATATATTCATTTCTAAATAATCGGAATTACATAAGCAATTAAAATATTCCGAAAGGATTTCAATCAACATTGATAAATTCTATTAAATTATACAATTAATTACTTAATGAGCCAGTGGTTTTGATCAGTCAAGCGCCACATTCATTAGGCAAATATAATCAAAAAGAAAGGTAACAAAAGTGTGGCATTTGACTTATCTCAATGCGCATATGTGAAAAAGTCAGTAAAAGATTAGAAAATAGTGGGAATTTTTGTCGTATAAAACAAGATTAGTTTTTTACTTTTTCAAGAAAGTAATTCTGGCGTTTTACACTTTAACAAAGCAAAGATCGGCCTCGTCATGAACTGCTTCGAAATTTGATTTTTCCAGTCCTGGATTATCAGACAAATATGACTAAGCAGAAAGAGTCCTAAATTTTAGATTTGACTATTCTCAATACGCACGTATGTGAAATCGTCAAAATAGAGTTACTGTGAATGCAGATCACTTCACAGTTCCTCATTTATCCGGCAAACATGATCAAAGAAAAAGTGAACAAAATTATGGATTTTGACAGTTTCCACTATAAGGCACGTGTGCAAACGTCAAAATTCAGATCTTTACAACTCCCCATTTATATGGAAAACATGATCAGAGAGAAAGTAAACAAAATTTAGGATTTCGACAGTTTCCACTAAGCACGTGAGAAAACGTCAAAATAGAGTTGCTGTGAGCAAAGAGAAAGTGTACAAAATTATGGATTTTGACTATTCTCATGGAACACGTGTGAAAACGTCGAAACGCGGATCTTTATCGCTCCACATTTATCAGGCAAACATAATCAATTAGAAAGTGTACAAAATTATGGATTTTGACTATTCTCATGGAGCACGTGTGCAAACGTCAAAATGCATTTCTTTACAACTCCCCATTTACCAGGCAAACATGATCAATGAGAAAGTGTAGAAAATTATGGATTTTGACAATTCTCATGGCTCACGTGTAAAAACGTCAAAATGCGGATCTTTACCGCTTCTCATTTATCCAGCAAACATGATCAGAGAGAAAGTGTACAAAATTATGGTTAATTATGATTATTTTCACGAGGCACATGTTAAACTTGAAAATAGAGTAGCAAATGTGGCTGGCGTTAGCCGTAAAAACTTTAATTAGGTGCTCACCGTGATTCTGTCATCCCACTCTATACTAATACAACCAAGCGGAGAGCTGTCAAACTGCTGGTATCATGTAGCTCATAACTGTTTTAAAAGCGGGTCATTCCTGTGATAGACTCATCAGGGAACATAATTAAAAAGAAAGTGTCGAAAAGTGGAATTTTGACTATTTTCTTGAAGCACACGATGTAAAAACGTCAAAAAAAGAGTTGTTGCGTTTGCGGCTCACTTCATACCTCCACGTTTCTCAGGAAAACACGATCTAATAGCTAGTTTACAAAATTTCGAGCTTTAACTAATCTCGATAATTATGTTGGAATGAGAGGTCCAATGTCCTCGAGAGGAGGGTGATTAAGAGAGTGCCACGAAATTGGGCTCGAGCTACAATGACTCAACTTGCCGCTCTGCGCCGCTGGATGCGCATCGGGAGGGACGAGAGAGGGGCAAATCCCCACAAGTATATACGTGAAAACGTCAAAAAGAGACTGATGCCATCGCAGTACACTTTACACCTCCACATTCATCAGGCAAACATCATTTGCAAGGAAGTGTACCAAATATCGAATTTTGATCCATCTTAATTAGTATACACCAAGAAGAGATTGTTGACATTGCAGCACACTTTACAGTCCCGCGTTTATCAGGGGAACATGATCTAGTAGCTAGTGTACAAAATTTCGAGTTTTGACTAATTTCAATGAGTATAAAAATGTCAAGAAGAGACTAATGCGGTTGTGGCACACTTTATAGCTCCACGTTTATCAGGAAAACATCGTCGTAGAGATAGTGTAAAAAATTTCGGTTTCGACCAATCTTATTAGGTATACTTGAAATTGTGGTCGTCTATTGTATTGTCGTTGTTGCTTTGTATATATGTTTCGATTAGATTCGCAGTTTCCTCTCTTTATAGAAAAAAAAACTAAAAATACATATTGTCTTTGCATATTTTGTGCATCAAAATGTTACATGCATTGCAAAACGCGTTCAGCTACTTCCCGAGTAGACTTTCATAGATCGTATTTTATTGGATCATTTAATGGTCATTTGTTGGGTTGAATTCTACAAGGGTTTCCTTTTCAAGAGAATCGCAATCTTACTTCACAACTAATCCAAAAGCTCCTCAACTACTCACTTAAAATAAAATATTTTTTTAATGAAAACGCATAAGGTTCCTTAAATTAACTTCCACTTCGTGTTAATTATAATATTTACGACGAGTTTCAAGTTTTACTAATTTGCAAATTATAGGTGGGCTTATAGCTAATGTAATAGTTTATGACTGCCCTTATAGACCGCGGAAAAATAAAATTTCCAAGGCCCGCACAGTTATCCGATAAATATGCGCACTGAGCTTTTTTTCCTGGCTCAAGCCTATATTAGTATATTACTGCCCTATCGAGTTTATCGAGGCCGATAAACACGTGCTTCGGGGCTTTCTTTTTTCGCGGCAATTTTTCATACACAGTGGCCCGAAAATAGCTCTTCTCGTTTTGCGCAACGGCCGAGAAATAGTCACTTTCTCTGCTACTGGTCACTTTTTCTGCTGCTGGTATGAAAACTATTTTCAATACCAGCGGCTCGAAAATAGCTTTTCCTGTTCTGAGCAGAAAGGCACGTTTTACACTCAAAAGACACAAACTCTTTTTAATCTTAACTAATTTTTTAAGTTAATAAGTTTTTTCTTTCGAGTTTAAAATGATATTCTTCTGCGCTTGTTCAACGACATTATTTCGATAGTACAAATGGCACCATGTGCTCGTGACTCTGCGACTCCGAGCGGCACGTTTTATAAAAAACCGAGTCGTGTGACGTCATACGTCCGCGGACGTAGAATTAACTCCCACTACACCTAGACTTTTGGGATTTTTCATTCACTGTCTAATGACGTATACGGCAGTCAAGCCGCAATAGCAGCAGTAGAGAAACAGCGAGCAGCTGTGAAGGCATCCAGTTTGTCAGTGACACGCAGCTCATATACTTGTGCCAAAGTTTTGCCGCACCAATGGAAGGTGTCGATCACAGTGTCGATTGTGTTCGCATTGACACTCTTCGTCTGGGTCAAGCAACGCAATGTGAAATTTTGATTCACAGTTCACAGGATAGTGAGTTGCCGACTTACGAGGAGGCCATGGCCGGCCTTCAGTCGGTCCCCATACTGATTACTCCGGTCGCACCGACAACCGCACCGACACCCGCACGAACACCCGCACGAATACCCGCACGAACACTCGCACCGATACCCGCATCGACACCCGCACAGACCTCCGAGTCCCCCAACGTAGAGGGAGTTGTCGATTGTAACAAAACGGATTGTATTGCCGTATTGGTAAACGATATAAATGATTGATCAATTATTGTTTTTTTTTTTCAAAATTATTCTAATCATTGCTTTTTCTCTCGAAACAGATTTGTCTGCTTCTGCTCGTCACGCTTTTGACCGTAGGGATGTGGGGTCCCTCGTTCATAAATTTCGTCGTCAAATTTGGAGCGAATTTGTTTTGGATCTTCGTTTTGATAGTATTCGTTATTGTTGCTGTGTATATTTCCAAGAACTCGTAGTGTCGGATGCGCGTTCTGCACACTTTAATATTTTCTGCCGAATGTCACGCTATTAATGTAGCGCTCGACTACATCCCGAACGAAGCCGCCGGCAAAAATTACATCATTCTTAGTGATTCATTAAGTGCCCTCTTGTGTCTCCAGTAATTAGTTCAATGTAATTGTTTATTTCTTTGTTTTGTTTTGTTTTTTTTTCTTAATAAAGTAGTGCAAATACTCCTTTTGTTGGTTGACACGCATCTTAATATAAAAAAATCTAGCCCATGAATACAAAAATTAAAAAGTTCAACAGAGATTACGACGTTCGAAATCCCTTCTATACGTATAAAGATAATTCTTAGTGATGATCGCGATCAAGAGAAATGATGAGAGGCACGATAAATCGATCTCGACAGGGAATTTCAAGAATTTCTGATAACTTGGTTCTTTTACGAGTTGTCTCTGTTGCTGATTTGCTTACTGGAAGCGCTCAATGTGAACATTATCTCGGTAATGCATACGACACCGAGCAGCACATGTGCTCACGGCTCGGCGACTCCAAACGGTACAGACCGGCAATGATGGCGCGACACATCAAATACAAACGTTCACAGGCTTAGATATGAAATTGACTTTCACTACATCTACTTTGAAAGTTATCTAGCTACTAACTGATGACGTATATGGCAGTCAAGCCACGAAAGCAGCAGTAAAGAAGAAGAAAGAAGCGAGCAAAGGCATCCAGTTTATTAGTGACACGCAGCTCGTATACTAGTGCCCAAGTTTTGTCTCGCCTAAAAATGGAAGGTGTCAATCGCAGTGTCGATCGTGTTAACATTGATCCACAATTGACTCTTCATCAGGATAAAGCAACGCAATGTGAAATTTTGATTCACAGTTCACAGGATAGTGGGTTGCCGACTTACGAGAATGCCACGGCCGACCTTCAGTCGGTCCCTTTACTGATTACTCCGGTTGCACCAACACCTGCACCGACACCCGCACCGATACCCCCATCGAGACCCGGACGGATTTCTTGCTCGAGACCCGGACGGATTTATGCGTCTCCCAACGGTCCACCTGTCGAAAAAGTCATAAAGGATATTATTTTATCCGTATCGGTAAACGATATAAACGATAGATCAATTATTGTTTTTTTTTTAATTATTCTAATCATTGCTTTGTATTTCAAAACAGATGGCAATTCTTTTTGTGCTCGCTGTGCTTATGTTTCTGCCAGAGGAGATGTTTCTTGTTTGTGGGCCAATTTCAATATTCTCTATAATACTCATGGGTTATAAAAATATTCTCGATGTGAAATATAAGGATGCTGTTGCTAAATTGCACACTGGATGCGTTTGTAATATAGTGTGAACATTATCTTGAAAGGGACCCTCAGCACACCATAACACATTTGCTCGCAACTTTGGGACCCAAAACGGCACATTTATAAGTCGATGCATGATGTTAAGCCCAACATGAGTAGAATTAACTCCCACTACAACTAGATTTTTGGAATTTCCTATCGACCGACAATATCTGTGTATACGGCAGTCAAGCCACGACTGCTGCTTCGGCGACACCAGTAATAGTGAAAGTAGTGAAAGCGACCGTAGTGTGTTGTACACGTGTATGTGAAAACAACAGCGATAGCAACTCGTTTTCGTATCAAGTTTCGACTGTAGCCCAAATGGCCAGTAGTACCATCGATCAGCAGCAGAGTGTTCATCGGGATCAAGCGCCACGGTATAGCGATGTGGTCGGATCGGATATGCAGTTGCCGACTTACGAGGAGGCAAATGGCATCCATTCGATCCCCGTACCGACTCCGTCGTCGACACCTGCATCGACAGCTGCACCCGAACCCGCACGTACATCCGTGTCCCGCGACGGAGAGGCGGGGATCAGAAACAGACTTAAAGATTCTTTGAAATTTATTGGCGAATCTGTACTTGTGGTAAACCATATAAACGAGTGATCAATTCTTTTTTCTGCTGCAAATTCATTCTAACGATTGATTTTTACCTTAAAACAGGTCGGACTGCTTTTGATCGTCATACTTGTGTACATAATATTTTCGTACAACTTGCCTCCTATGAATGATTTTTTCGAATTTTTATTGGAAATGTCGAGGGTCGCTGCTATTTTCGTAATCGTGGCACTCTTGTTCATTTGTTTGCCCCTTTTGATTTTGCACGAATGTTTTAAATTGTTCAACCAAAGATACGCCACGGTTGCAAGAGCTAATGGCGTATAAGAATGATTTCAGAACAAACAAATAGGAGAGGCTCAATCAAGAACAAATGTTATAATGTACATTAAAACTCGATTATAACGAACTTCAACAGACCAATAGATTTTGTCTTTCTAATTCCGATTACTTATCGTGAAAAATAATCAAGAAATAGATAATGATATTTTTCTATGTTTTTTGATTTGAATGTTTGATGGAAATTTTTCTTCCTTTTTTTTATTGAGAAATGCAAATTCCAAATTAGTTCAAAAGATATACAACCAAGTTACCGAGATATACTTTAGCAGAAGATTTTGTGCCGCCAGAGCTTTATTCAGTTCAATAAATTTAATTTAGTTTATTAGTCGAGTTTGTTAAAAATTGATGTACAGTTTGAAGTTGAATGTTTATCTATAGTGATTGTACAGTAAAATATTTATATTAATAGTGTGAATAAAATTAGCGATTATGTGCAACAAGACTTATTCTTTGTACTGTGTACTGTTTAGTTTTTCGATCGAGTTTATCAAAGAGTTATGTACATAGTTTGAAGTTACTCATAGTCAAGTAAGGGCGTAGCGTAGAACGAGTATGTAGACTTTGCTTATTTTTGTAAATATGTACAGAAAAATTGTTAATTTTACTCTTAAGGTGATGCCTCAGCCGTGAATGTTACTATTTTTGTTGGTCAAAATATATTTAAAATTTTAAAATGAAATGAGAACAAAAAATGAAAAATTTCAATCCTGTTCTCCAGAAAAACTTCTGAATGAAATGGGATGAGGTTTTGCATAGTTATTCACAGTAATAACGTGGAGGGCTACATAGAGCTGTTTTTTGACAATCGGTCAAGAAAATAAGTTGTAAAAATGTATTTCATAGCTTGATCGGTAAAACGAGGAGGCTGCGGCATTTTTTTTTCGTCTTGAAAAAGTATGTCATATGTCATCGAAATCAACGAGTTGTGAGTAGTCGCTGGAATTAGGTATAGTTTAGAGCGCCGGAAGGCGCTGGTTTCTTAGATTACCGATGTTTTCTAACGTATCAAGTAAAATAATAAAACTTGATCATAAAAACCCATCATGATTTTATATCCTGAAATGGACATAAATTAGTCTTCTTTGTTACTGCAAAAAGTTTCAACGTTTTATTTCGATGCACTTCAGCAGAAACTGCAAATATTATTTGAGGTATCTATAAGATATTTCAATAAGTGCAGTTTTTTATAAATATGTAATTCAATAAAATCTGTTTTATAAAATCGTTTATTTTTTGTCATTTTATATATTCAAACATTCGTTTTTACATCGAGTCTTTACATTTCAGTATTGTTTGCTAATAGAACTTTACATTTATTTTACTACTATATTTTCAATTTATAACTAAAAATTATCTGATGTTGACGCAATCGAATTTCAAATATCATTTTTGTATAGGTATGTACAAACTTTTATGCAATAAAATGATTTATATGAATGTTACAGAAATATTCATTACTCTTTGATGTTATTAAAGCATAAGTTATAAAACCAATTATTGCTAGACTCTAAATAGATAAAGCAATTAAAGTAATTACTTGATATTTTTAAATAAGGAAATTTTTCAGTTGTTAATGATTTATAGTTAATTGGGAGGAACAATTTTAAGTTGTGCAGATGTATTCATCGTACGATCAAAGGACTTTTTTTCACAGTTTTGAGTGAATTTCATATCAATTACAATCAACTTTTAATTAAAATTAATAATTATTAAAATCTTACATAACTTTTTATAATAAGCTGTTTTTCGCTTTATATTTTAAACAACAATCAATATCATATTAATGGGATAATTTTTTCAAGAATTGAATAAAAAAAATAAGCTTTTGAACGTCGTTACGTATATTACTTTCTGTACAATAGTATTGTGAGATAAATAAAATTGTTTTTTTTTTTTTTTATTGTAAACGTATGTGACAAATTTATCGAAATGTTTTATTTTAATACAAAAAGTTTTTATTTTGTAACACAATTACACATTTCCCGTGAAATGCGATTTTTCTTCGATAAATCGTTTTTTTTTAAATTATTATGATAATATTTAAAGGAGTGTAAATATTATATGCATTGAGGGAAATACGATAAAAAAATTGCTACTTTTATAGTAATCTTAAAATGAGGTCAAAATTTTTTATAAAAATTGCTGTGTTGTTTAACAATAAAATTGCTGCAACATAGTAATTTTTACGAGAATTTTTCAGTACATCCCACGGTTACTATAAACATCGTAATTTTTTTTGAAAAGTATTTTTCTCAGTAAGTGCAAGTACGATACTTGTATCCTTTTTTTTGTCGCAGTAAGTTGCGAATATTTTTTATTCGAAGTTATCGATGCATAAACATTCTTCGGAATGAAAAATTTTGTATTAAAAAAAAAAAAAAAGAGAGAACAAAAATGACAAAATATTCATATTTTCAAATCGATTACAATAATTAAGTAAACGAAGGAAGAGTTTTAAAACTGCTAAAGAAGTTTAAGAATTTAAAATGTCATCGTCGTTTCATGTTGACGTTTTATAATCTTTCGAGATCGAAGCGTTTTTCTCAGCAGCAACGTCGAGAGATCCTACCACCTGCTGCGTCGACGTCCTCGTGGATCTATCCCGATGGACCGTCGAATTTTGTATGTGAACGTTGACTTCGAGCTGAAAAAGAGAAATATATCCTTCAACGTCTCATTATATAGGTTAGCGAGCGAAATTTTGCGTGCACTCACCAGTACCGGCTCTCCGCTCGTTTTTAATTTTTCCAATTGATTCTCGAGCGCGTCCGGCCGGCCCGGCACGTCGTTCTTTTTCCTGATATTCATTCGCATCTGATTGCTCGGATGGTCGAGGTCCAGTGCCGCTCTGCTGTTGCTATTATCGTTATTATTATTGTTCTGCTCGATATCCATTTCCTCGATGTCGTTCTTTCTCCAGTCGTCGTTGTCGACGCCGTTGTATCTGGGCTTCGCGACGGCCGACACGGCGATAAAGGCATTCTTGTTGCTCAGCTTGCTGCTGCTACTACTGTTGCCATTGTTGTTATTGTTGTCGAGTCCCGCGGCGAGGCTTCCTCCCGGCTGCGTGACCTTGTGATAAGCGAATTGCTTCCACTTGGCCGCGCTCTTCCAATCCTCGCCGATCTTCTCGCTCGACTGCTGCTGCTGTTGCCACGTCTTGCTGTCGCTATTATTGTTATTATTGTTGTTGTTACCCGAGCTCGACGATGCCTCGTCCCAGGCATTCTTGAAGGACTTGTCGTTCTGCTTGCGAGAATCCTTGGCGTCTTTGCTGCTCTGCTGCTTGTCGGTGATCAGGCCCAGTTTGCGCACAATCGCGGCGTTCGGATTGTACGCGACTCCGTTCTTGTCCTTGGGCCAGGGCTTAGCGCCGGGCAGCTTGAAGGGCCACGTCGCCGGATCGGAGGTCAGGCTGTCCCACGTTTTCAGGGTCAATTTCGGCGAGTCTTTCGAGTCGCCGTTGCTGCCGTTGGGCGCACTTTTAGCGCCGTTATTTTCCTCCTCCTGCCGCTCGGGTGACTTTTCTCGAATCGAGGCGTACTCCTTTGACTTTTCTCGGTTTGGCCAGGCGCCAGGCCTTTGTATCAAGCGGCTCATTTCGTTCTCTCTCGGTCTGTCTGGATATTTTTCCTGCACACAAAGCAAAAGAGAAACAATGGCCCATAAGAAATTTATTTCGTTCTTTCTTTTTCTCGTCTTTCGCGATTATTTTCGTCAAAGCATTATATACATCTTATATACATTAAAAAAATACCGTACCCTCGCGTCCTGACGTTCCCAGCTCTGCTGTCGCTGCCTCCAGTCCCGGTCCAGCTCTCCCTCTCTGTCCTCGAGCCGAGCGTAATAATCGCGATGCTCGGTGTTCCAAGGCTGCTGCAGCCAGGACGACTCGAGCTCGTCTCGGCTCTTCGGCCGCCAATTCCAACTATTTTTCGGCTCCTCCTCCTCTAGCTCACCAGCAGCAGCCGTCTCGTCGTCCTCGCTCCAGGCCCGATCGTAGCCTCGCCATGGCGCATTGGCAGCCCAACTACCACCGCCAGCTTCATGCTGCTGTTGCTGCTGCTGTCTCCCCGGAGGCAGGTATCCTTGGCTGTGGCCGAAGTTTGCGTTAAAGCGCTCTTGTTGTTGCTGCTGCTGATGCTGATGCCGTTGTCCCGGATACGACAGCGAGAGCTGCTCCCTGGGGCGTTGGCGCTCGTAGCCTCTGCCACCGCCGTGGGATACAACTTGGCCAAAGTGATAAGCTCGCCGCCCGCCGCTAGATCCTGCGGATTATATGCGAGTTTCTATTAACTCGAGTTGAGTTCCTAGCCACGCGTATTATCTTGTTTCGCGTGTGCTCCGCGCATAGCATTGCTCGTCGAGGATTATATTGTTTCTATGTACCGAGTACTTTCGAGCGTCGAGACAACAACGACAAAAATCGAGTGTACAAGTTCATGGATATCAGGCTTACCATCGTCGTCGTCGTCGTTGAATTTGCCATCGTCGTCGTCGAACAAGCCCTTCGGATGGGTATTGATCTTTCCGTAATGCAGCGTTCGACCTCGCTGACCCGCTGCCTCGTAGTCGAACTCGCGCGCCGCCTTCAGCATGAGAGCTTGGCGCTCCGAGTTCAGGGCTCGGAGGCTGTCCTGCTCCTTGTCGCCTCCACCGCCTTGGCGAAACTCCGGCCAGCCGCGCATCGTCGCGGGCACGGTGTAGCGTATCTGCGATCCGCAACCGAGTAAACACGTTTATTTATTAATTTCGTCGACATCAAAGTTCGGATAACGCAGTTTACCTTGGCGATGCTGCCGGGAACGACGTCTTCTCTGCCGTCCTCCTGAGACCAGATTCGTTGCTTAGCCATGACATCGGCGGCCTGCGATCGCCACTTAGTCGGCGGTGAGTCGGTCGGCGCTAATAGAGCCTCGACCGGCGACGTCGCTATCGACGGCGACGTAAACTTCCGCAGCAGTTTCTGTTTTCTCAGCTTCTTCTTTTTCTTCTTCTTTTTCCTCGCCTTTCTCGTCGGCCTCTCCTTGCTCGCCGGCGGACTCGTCGTCGGTGTCTGCATGGTCGTCGTCGCAGGCGCTATCAGCGGCTCCGCGAACTCGCCGTCGAACACGCCGACGAGACGTTTTTTCGCCTCGCTCGGGTAATCCACGACGTCCGCTTTGACGTCCACTAAAAAATTACGTAATCGTCGTTTTTCCGTTAATGGGCTCGAGCTCGAGCTCTATATTAAGTGATAATTATGTAAGTTTTGAAGTAGGAGAGTAGGGTCTTACACAAAAGCTGATGAATTCTTTCCCATCGCTCCGGATTTTCCGATAACTTTGCCAAGACTTGGAAAACGTTCTCGGTCGCCAGCAGCTCCTCGGCCTTTAACATGCAAATCAAATTTTTCTTGCGTTAATGAACCAGCATTTTATCTCCTGTATAATTTGTGTGGACGAAGCCATCACCTATTGAAACGTCAAGTATTCGCGCAGGGTATGGATTGGTATGAATTATAAATCAAGATATTCGCGACGACTACGTTTAATTAATAAAAATCCGAGTTAGCATTTTTAAATTCCTCGAGCATACCTGCTCGTCTTTTGATCTCCGAAGATGAAGAAAACTGTTTCATTCGTCAAAAGAAATCCTCGAGCTCGCGTATTTCCGGTACCTGATGATCGTTTGCCAGAAATAAAGGAGCAGCAGCAGTCGCATGTATACCTCGGGCCAAAGCGCACGAGTTAAATTCCGAAAAATCGCGCGAGCGCAAACAGCAGCAGCAGCATTGCTTCTTGCATTCGTGGCACGTATATTGCTCTAGCTCTCTCTCTCTCTCTCCCTCTCTCGCATCTGCGATACGTCGCGCGCTCGCCCTGTTTTTTTCTCTCTCTTTCCTTTTTTACGTGTGCGGTATTACTCGGGCGAAGAGCTTTTTTCTGTGTGAGAAATAAGCCAAATCGGCGCATCGTTTGTAAGAAGCTCTGCCGAGTCGGAAGTTGAGCGCACAAGCGAACTGGAAACGTGTATAGAGCCGTCTTTCCGATGCACCGCGGATGACTCTTATTTTTCATATTCTCGGGTATTGCGAATTTTTCTCTTATTAATTGTGGCCGGTGCACAACACGCTGCGCAAGAAATTTTTCCTCGAGAAAACGTTGTTGCTAGCTAATACGCGATTCTGCGCGCTCGCAGCTTTCGACGATTTCGGTACAGCTGCACGATGCCGAATACAAAAAGCTCGCGCAAAATTGAAGCTCGCTGCTGCTGCTGCGCTTCGGAGGATAAACGAGCTTTTTTGCCGCCGCGCCTGGCTCATCCACTACGAGAATTATGATACAATAGCCGGTCAGCATTTTTTTTCTCGGTTTTTTTTTTCTGTGTGTGTGTACGTCTGCGTGGAATTTGTCCGGGTATATACAGCTCGTCTGCGCCTCGAGACCTCGGCAAGTATAAGTATATAAGCATTTCTTTGTCCAAAGGCGATCGGCTCGGCTATTCTCTTTTCTTTCTCTTTGTCTCACTCTCTTGCTCGACATTTCCTTTGGCCCGAAAAAGCGCTGACTTGGCTCATCCCGAGCACTCTACGCGCATAAAGTCTCTCCTCCTTCTCTTCCTATCTTATTCACTCTGCGCGACAAAACTACGTGTTTCTTTTTCTTCCGCGACCCGGATATTCTCTCACTTATCTATTATCCTGCGAACAGGATAGGGAACGCTGATTAATTCTTCAGCTGATGCTGCGCTATTCGCTTTCGTTTTGGAGAATCGGATGATTTAATCGGACGATGCGAGTCTAGCGTAAAAAGGACAAATCTTGGTTGTGCATTTTTTGACTTGCTTTTAAGACGGAGAATATGAAGGTTTGCATGAAATACTAGGATAAGCGATTGCGGAAGATGAATCTAAGACGGAAAGGTCACAAACACATCGAGTGACAATTTTTACTTTTGCTTAAAAGGAAATTAATATTATTACAAAAATTAATGTTAGTAAGCGAAACTTTGACTTGGTTGCGACTTAAGAGATAGAAATGCATTTGATGTAAAAAACTTTAGCTGACGATAAAAACTTCGTAACGCTGCACATTTAACATTTTTTCTTTAAATTCTAACTCACTTTATATCGAGCTTTTTGCGAGCTCATTCGATATCTTTCAATTTTATTCATTTATAAGTTCATCCCCAAAGTGCAGCTGTGCTGCTGCAGCGCTTATTGCTTAACACGGGGTGCTACATCGCAATACACAGCGTCTATATATATCGCCTCCTGACTGATCTAATTACAAACGTGGAAACTGTTCGCTCTGTGTAACACGCCGCGCGACTGAAGCGGAGTTATATGAGGCGTGTATATAGTTATACATGCTTCGGCGGCTACAAGACAATTACAGAGTCGATCTCTCGCGTAGCTCATGCTGCTGCTGCTGCAATTGTCAAAGTAACAATTCGAGTGAATGATTCGGCGTGGAAAACTTTTTAAAGCTAAAACGCTAAGCGATTCGCTTTTAACATTATCTGTCATTACTTTATTTCCTTTTTTTATCGAAAAGTTAATTTTTCCTTCCTCGCCCATTGATTGATTCTTTATTTCAATTTTCTCGAAAAAATTTACCTCTACACCATACATATAGCTGACGTTCCTATATATATATATATATCGGTATGAATAGTATCGAGCGTAATGTCACTTACACTGAGCTGGTCGAGCTGCTCTCGTTCGGCCGCGTACTGAATCAGCAAGTACTCCTTGAGGTCCTTGATGAGTTTCAGAGGGTTGCCGGCGTCTTCGTTGTTGCTGCCGCTCTGACGTTTACTCAGTAGTTTTTGCGCCGATTGAGGAGGTCTCATTAGCCACTGAACGTCTTCCGAGCTCTCCAGGCCGTTCAATCGATTCTGCCCGTACCTTCGCTTCGTATTTCTCTGCACGACGACAACGAATTAGAAGTGTTTCATTATACGAGTGACAATAGGATCGTAAATATAGTAAGATATTTCAATGATAACAGTTCGATACACGATATAAGTACACGCGAAACAAAAGAAATAAAGAGTGCAGTAGTATTATTACCTCATTTTTTGCCAGCACTTTGAGCTCTTCGAGTGCCGCGACTCCACCGGACACTGCCGCTGGAAGGATCGTATTTTCGCTCGTTTTTGCCGACACCACGGCTACGTTTTCACCTCGTTTAAGTGACTCTTTTTCGAGTGTCGACGACGACAAGCGCTTGTCTTTGCCCGTCGTCTTCTCCTTGTTCAACTGAAACGATGTTTTCTTCCGTCTCTTGAACTCCTTCACCTGAATCAAGTACGACGAGCCACTTTGAAATTGTTGCGAGTGTATACACAACTTTGAGTGTTGCAAATAATATCATGGGTATCGAGTTTTTCTTTCTTTGTTTTACTTTTTTACGGGTTTCTCGTTAAAAAGCCCATATAATAATTTGTTAAAATCCAAACGCGCCTTGGTCGATGTTATACTCTCTCGTATCAGCGCCCCCGAAAGACGTTCCGGCCTGGCAAATATATTACGACGTGCTCGCGAAAAAAATAAAAGTTTGCCTCCTAGCTCGTTTCCCGTCTCTTCATTAATTCAGCGGTGTTTACTTACAATTAACGGCTGCATCACGACCTTTCGAGCGCGCGCGAGCTATCGTGCGCCTTCTATGGGTTGTATACGAAAAATTAACGAGCCTAGCTGCAACAGCGTGTAAACTATATGGTATATATTTGCCGTGAGCCGCGTCGTCGTCGTCGATCTTCTTGTACGCTATTTTTCCCCCTAACTCTTTTTTTTTATGTAGCCGCGCTGTTGCTGCCGGCCATCCGAGATGAAAAAAAAAAGCGCTACAGCAGCGCGGCTAGGTAGTACAGTAGATGTATATAAAGTCTTCTTGCGCTCTCGCTCGCGCTACTGCTGCAGCCCGGCCAATGTGCGTACACGCGCGGGTGTAATTTAAAAGCATCGTTAACGTCCAACGCGTGTAGCTACTATATACAGACAGAGGCGCGAGTCGAGTCGCTGTGCGCGAAGCGAAAGTAATTTTCTCCTCGACTTAATAACCCGGAGAGCAGAGCTGGCTGGACGAGAACGCTATACGGTGGCGGCTAAAGCGAGCGTCATCTTATTCCAGATGCGCTCGGGGGAGAGGGTTGATGCTTCTTCTGCCGTTGCTGCTGCTGCAATCTCGAACTCGACTTTATAATAACTGTATCGCATGCACGGCGTATACACCGGTATAAATGCGTTTATAAAGGCACCCGCACCGAGTACAAAGTACCGATTTTTTTTTGTTGCTCGCGTGCAATACCAGAGACGAGATGAAAAATTTTTCGATGTATAAGCCGTATAGCGAATATTGTATGTATGTATAAAACAATGTGCGACGCGGGATGAAAAATATTCCGCGCCCGAGCTTACTACTATTGCACGCTAGGCGACAACGCACCGTTTCGTTTCAATATTAACCCCTGAATTATTCATAAAGTTCAAAGAAGATAAAGGGTAAATTAATTTCTCATCGAGAATTCCCCGCCGCTCCGAGCCCGGCGCGTGTAAACGACGGATATGCTAATTTATTCCTGCAGCAGCACCAGCGCGTCACCGATGTAATACAACACGTGTAGACCGCTTGTTTAGTTTTTAATGCTCGACGCGGCTACGTATAATGAGAAATATCATACATCGTGGGCACGTCGATAGACTATTATAGAGAGAGAAAAATAACTCGTAATATTAATTACTGACGCGGGGGTGATGTAACGACGGCTTTGGAATTTATTGCGCGAACCAGTTAGGAAAAGATGAGCATAACTTTGGCCATAGCTCAGTCACACCAAGTCTCGTAAATATCCTTAAACACACGCCGTCGCCGTACGTGTAACTCGAGGGGTTTAATAATGCGCGCGCGTGACCTGATATTTTTAGACCCCCCCACGCGCGTCGCGGCCCTCGTAAGTTAGAATTTTCTCCGCTCTCTACGAGCAAAATTAGGGTAATATTATTTGAGCTTTTACGAGATGTAAGAGGCTCGTAGAAAATTCTATATGGGCGCGAGCTATACGTATGTTTATGAATTTTCTTCGCGAGACCTAAACTTACAGTATGTGTGTGTGAGTATGTATACGAGTAATGTTTCGGTGCCGAAGACAACGTCGAAAAGTTCGTTCTAATAGGTAGATACCGAGAGGAGGAGGAGGAGGAGATTTTTGGAATTTTTACATCGTGTCGCGGCGATTTTTTCACGTTGACATGTTTTACGCTGACTTTTTCTGTCGTAAACTTTGTTTTTTTATCTTGTTGTTGGTGTCGCGTACACGACACCTAAAACACTTGTGCGTGAACATCTCAGAGATTTTGCGACACGTTTTTTTTTATGCTAACGTGGGGTTTGGGTGCGTGTTTTAACCGAGCGCGAGTAACTATCGATTCGCAAGCGTGATTTTCAAAAAGCTCTGCATATAATTCAGAAATATAATAACATTGAGTAAAATATGGAATTAAATTTGACGTATTAAATGTTCTTTGAAATATTATACAACTGGGCATACAATTAATATAAAGCAATCACTTCGCACAAACAATCGGTATTATCAAGCGATGAATTTTCACGAACAGAATTTAATAATAGAGTTTTCGATATCATTGATGAATTTCCATTTTGCGAATTCAAAAGTATCACGTGTCAACGAGTATATAACATTTGTGAAATGAAAAAAAGAAGAAATTTCATATTTTTCTAAAATCATCACCAGCATGAATTTTCCTATTTTTGTTTGACGAAAATAAATAAATTGAAGCCGTAAAGTTGTAAATTTTATATCGAGTATCTTTTTAACGAGAAAGCATTCAATAATAAAAAAATATTTACAAACAACTAAATTATATATTTACGATAAATGTTGAAAAGTCCTTTAATCACCCTGGTAGAAATACTTGACATCAATAATGGCTTAATGGCCAAAAAATATGTGGCAATTAATTTACACGATTTTTCTATTAAAATTATGTTCAAAATAGTAAGCGCATTTGAATCGGTCTGAAGATGACAATTTAATTATATAAAAAAAGTTAGACTAGTAATTCAATCACTTTGAATAGGATAATACCGTTTAAGTCTTCACCGCTGGATGGCGAGTAACTCTATTTGTAAATCTGCAAGTGGCTATGTCGAAATAATTGTATAAGGATCAAACCACGGTTTTAATACATAATAACCATGGTTTTAATGCATAATTCTAAGGCAATATCTTTCGGCATTACATATTAGAATAAAAAAAGAAAGCAATGTTTATCAGTTCGAAAGAGTGCAAAGTAAATGCGCTAATTGTTGCGGAAAGATGATAGCAATATCTTGAAAATACCCAGCAAAGCCACGAAAGCAATTGTCGTGAAACCGAGGAACGAACCTCTTTGTCAGTAGTCGCCGCCGCTTGGCCATCGTCGCCGAGGTCCTTCTCGTCTCTTTGCGGCGTTCGGCCGTCGACGGCCGCTTTGTCAGTTGTGGTACTATTGGCCGCGGCAGCCACAGCCCGCAGCTCATGCTCGAATTCATCGTTATCGTCGCTGTCCCCGTTGTCGTCGACGTCGTCGTCATCGTCGTCGTCCGGTTCGCTGCTGGTCTCATCCTCCTCGGAGTCGTTGTCGTTCTCTTCCTCTCCTCTTTCGTCGCCGTTCGCGTCGTCGTCGGCGATATCGTCGTCTTCCTCGCCCGAGTCTTCTTCGGAACTATCGACTGGTCTCGTGTCGTCGCCAATACCGCCGCCGCCACGACCAATATTCGCTTTAGTCTGCGGTACCTTCAAATAGTCAAAGCGACTTCATCATCGAAATGTTCCCATGCTAGATATTTGCGGCATGTATATTAAAGTGTACATACACATAAAGTACAGGACGTAATGTGCATATATAAGACGAGGCGCGGGGGGTTGGGTGCGGAATCGATCGACGCTCGCGCAAAAGTTGCCCTCTGTGTAGTACACCAGTTTGTGAGAAATGTTAGCGCAAAGTTAGATATGTTATTCGATATGCTTCGCTCGAGGCGGAAAATTTTCTTTACGCGCGTACACAGAGTTGGTATTGATTGCCAAAGTACATGTACGATGTTGTGCAAAACTACTTTTTTTCCCGTTTTTTTACATCGCTATGTATTAAGGTGACTTTTTACTGACTCGGCTAGTCAATACGAGCGTAGTTAGTTTGTTTTGACTCTTGTTGTACCCGAGGGCCCCATGCTGTAGTGTTGTAAGCGTCTCCTCTCCTCTTCAGCAGACGACAACACCTTAATCGGACCATAAAAATTCGCTTTCTCGGACAAATACTACAATAATTAGCATGAAAATATGTACTTTTTAATAAACCAATCAAAAGCTTATACTTTTAACTTTATATTATCAGTTTTTTGAAGAGCTGTATGATATATTTTGAGAGTTATTCAATAAGAAGCGTCCAAAAGTATATGTGCGCCCATACAGGTTGTGTTAAAAAGTCAATTTTCGATGACTTTATTCTCAAAAATTAGCATGGCAAAGGGTCTGAAATTTTGCAGGTAGATTGTTGAATTACTCATTAATGTTCTCCAAAAATTTCAAGACCCTGTATGAAAAAAAGTTTAGGTAAAGAGTCACCTTAAACACGAGTCTCTTAGTAAATAAGTTTCGGTGCACTGCAAGAGAGAGAGAGAGAGAGAGAGGGAGAGCTATAAAGCTTGACGCAAAATTTTTTTTTATTTTTCTACTTGTAATTAATTGATCTACTGTCTACTGATTTTTTACTGATAAAAAAAAGCACGGCCGAAAAGTGAGGCCGCGTAAAACGACCTCTGATTGGCTGACACTAACGACGACGCCCGACGTGAGCCGGCTTGATACGAGCGCCTGCGCTGCTAACTGTCAACAGACAGTTAATGAAAAAATTGACGCGCGCGAAGCGCGTTTGAAACTTTCTAGTAATATAAATTTGTCATCGTTATCGCCTCGCGAATTGCTGCGTTGAAGCGGCGCCGGGCTCACGACTCTCGCGGATTATATCATTTATTTAAAACGAGTATCGCGCTCGTGCGCTTCTCCAAAGTTTTTAACTCTTTTTCACGCTCGCGCTGAGCGATACCTATATACATATTTTATTTCGAGAAATTTCATAATCTTTCGACGATTTTCATAAGCGAGCCTTTGATCAAGACTTATATGAAAAGTTAGCTCGAGCTCTTCGAGACTCGCTATGTAGATATATGTATGTAAAGCCGTCGAGTTGGAAGAAAATTACTGTCAACGCTAATATATATTACGCGGACTCTGCTTTACACAGCACGGCTTATACATTTTCAGGCCTTTACATCGAACTCTTGTAAAATTGGAATAACATTAATTGGACTTTTTCAACTTAAAGTCTTCGTTTCCGTATTCCGGGGGCTTATCTTTTTTCCTCGGCGCGGTAAAAAGAAAACGATTAAAAAATTATTTTACGAGAAACATTTTTCTTATGTCGCGTAATTTTCTTATATCAGGCGCGCAACGAGGCGCGCTCGCCATTCGTTATCCCCACGCGCGAAATGAGAATTCTATATGTGCACGGTGGCAGCGGCGGCAAAAAAGTGTCTAATAAAAAGTAGACTATCCGAATGATACCTTTCTCTCTCTCTCTCGCACGCTTAACGAGAGAAAAGTGCGCTTATTACCCCCGCGGCGTGGGCCGTTTGGCGATTAAAGCCATTCTACGCTGTTAGCCCCGCGTATTATTTTTTTTGCTCTCTCTTTCTACATCGCGAGCTTTTCTCGCTTGCGCTAATACCGCGATATATATATATATATATATAAAATGAGAAAGAGGGAGCGAGAGGAACTAGGTACTAGGATACGGTGTGTAGTGTAGTGCGCAACTCGGGCGCGTATTATAGAGGTGCTCTAACGATCAAAGCGCCCACTTACCGAAACTGCGGGTGGTGAAACTTCCGACGTTTGCTGCTGTTGTTGATGTTCGCTGCTGCTGCTACTGCTACTGCTACTAACTGCAACAGAGAAATAACAACCACGGCTTTTATTCCCAAGTACTTTGTCTTTTTATGTATGAATTTCCAGCTTTTTTCTGGCGCTACGAATTTGTGTCCGTAAGTGTTGCGTAATATTTTATAATATTGCGGGTAATTTCAAGCATTTATGATCGCCCTCTGGTGATATTATCTTCTCTTCAAAAAATGGTGGACAGCAATAGGGTGAGTATTTAGGAGCATTTTGATTCGTTGTAGAGTAGTGGAATTGACCTTTGTAGAATTTAATCGTTTAAAAAACCACTAAACGATCTAATAAATGATTATTAAACAACAATAAACAGTCACTCATTAGAGTGAAGTATACCTAAGGAGTAGTTGAACATAGTATTTGCTATGCAAGTAATTATGTCAATGGGAACATAGATGCAGAAAATCTGCGAGGACAAAAATTATTTTTAGTTTTATATCCTTAAACATAATTTAAGGCTGTAAAGTGATTAGCATTCGCAATAATCTTTTCTTAACGTTTTTCCATGTACGCCTATTGAGGTAAGTCAAAACCCAAAATTTGGTTTCTTTCTTTCTCTTTAATTGTGTTTGCCTGATAAATGTGGAAGTGTAAAGTGTGGTGCGATTGTACCAGTCTCTTTTTGACGCTTTCACGTACACTCATTGGCATGAGTCAAAATTTGGTACAATTCCTTGCAAATGATGTTTTCCTGATAAATGTGGAACAGTAAAGTTTGCCGCAATCGCACCAGTCTCTTTTGAGTCCATCGCAGGAATGACCCACTTTTAAAACGAGCTACATAATCCCGCAGTTTGACAGCTACCCGCTTGGTTGTAGAGAGTATACTATAGACTACTACTAATACAGAACGGCAGAATCACAGTGAGCACCTAATTATATTTTGTACGGCTAAGACCAGCCACGTTTGCTGCTCTATTTTGATGCTTTCACATGTGCCTCGTAAGAGTAGTCAAAATCCATAATTTTGTACACTTTCTCTCTGATCATGTTTGCTGGATAAATGAGAAGCGGCAAAGATCCGCATTTTGACGTTTTTACACGTGAGCCATGAGAATTGTTAAAATCCATAATTTTGTACACTTTCTCATTGATCATGTTTGCCTGATAAATGGGAAGTTGTAAAGATCTGCATTTTGACATTTGCGCACGTGCTCCATGAGAACAGTCAAAATCCATAATTTTGTACACTTTCTCTCTGATCATGTTTGCTGGATAAATGAGAAGCGGCAAAGATCCGCATTTTGACGTTTTTACACTTGAGCCATGAGAATTGTTAAAATCCATAATTTTGTACACTTTCTCATTGATCATGTTTGCCTGTTAAATGGGGAGTTGTAAAGATCTGCATTTTGACGTTTGCACACGTGCTCCATGAGAATAGTCAAAATCCATAATTTTGTACACTTTCTAATTGATTATGTTTGCCTGATAAATGTAGAGCGGTAAAGATCCGCATTTTGACGTTTTTACACGTGAGCCATGAGAATAGTCAAAATCCATAATTTTGTACACTTTCTCTTTGCTCACAGCAACTCTATTTTGACGTTTTCTCACGTGCTTAGTGGAAACTGTCGAAATCCTAAATTTTGTTTACTTTCTCTCTGATCATGTTTTCCAGATGAATGGGGAGTTGTAAAGATCTGCATTTTGACGTTTGCACACGTGCCTAATGAAAACTATCAAAAGCCACAATTTTATACAATTTTTCTTTGATTATGTTTGCCGGATAAATGAGGAGCTGTGAAGTGATCTGCATTCACAGTAACTTTATTTTAATGTTTTCACGTTATTGAAAATAGTCAAAACTAAAATCTGAAGTCATATTTGCCTGCTAAGTCCGGGACTGGAAAAATCAAAAATTGAAGGAATTCATAACTTGACTGCTCTCTGCTTCGTTGTAGTGTGGAACGTCAGAATCACTCACTTGAGAAAGTAAAAAATTGATCTCGTTTCAAATGTCAAAAACCCCCATCGTTTGCTCCTCTTTTTTTATTGTCTCACGTATGTATATTGAGATAAGTCAAATGCCACAATTTTGTTCTCTTTCTCTTTAATTACATTTGACTAATGAATGTGGCACTTGACTGGTCAAACCTACTGGCTTATTGATGTAGCAAATTAATCAATTGCAAAAATCTATTAAATTTTTTGATGTCAGGTAAAACCCTTTCGGAGTGTCTGTTTTGATGATACTTACAATATCAAAGACTATTAATGTAAGAATAATTTTAAACTTTCAGATATATTGTAACAAATTTTTCTAATCCTGCTTACTTTAAAATAAATCGATGGAATAAAATTTTTTAATTTTTAGAATTGATTATACGTTTATTACAAAAAATTTTCATGAATAAATCATAATTTCATTTTTTAAATATCATTCATATAATGCTTCATATATTATACTTCATAACAATTTTATATTAGTTATAATTATAATAAATACGATGGCTCTGTTACTAATTTTCTCCTGGGTGTGCTTACGGCTAATGTAAATATTGTCTCGGCGATACAGGCATAGACATGAGCTCGCGACTCTGCTACTCGAAGCGGTACACGCGAAACCGACTCGCGCGACGTCAAACGTCCACATAAGTACGTGAAATTTATTTCCACTACGCTAAAAGTATTTTTAGGGATTTTCTATTGACCGATCGATGGCGCACTGCCATCAAGCAACGACAATAGCAGCAGCTGCAGTAGCAGTAGCAGTGTAAACAGTGACAGAACATTTTACGAGCGAATCTACACGTAGTTGATATTCGTATCAAGTTTTGATTCAACACACAAATGGCTACAGAAAACGGGGCCGGGATGGATACGTCATTGCCGACTTTCGAGGAGGCAACCGGTTCCTATGTGGTCCAATACAGACCGACTCCAGTCACGTCGACACCCGCGTCTCGCTACAGAGCGTTGGACGGGATAGAGGAACCGTTGCCGACGTTCGAGGAGGCCACTGGTTCCTATGTGGTCGAAAATAGGCCGACTCCGGCCGCGCCGATACGTTCGTCTCCCGACAGAGAGATCGATATGAAGGAAAGATGTCGCAAAATTTGGGTAAGTTATATAAACGATGGATCAATACTACTTTTTTCAAATATTATTATTATAATAGCTACTTCTTGCTTTAAACAGACCAAAGTGCTTGTGTTCATAGCGCTTATTTTTATAGGACTTTTGTTCATATGGGGTGTCTTCGTTGGTTTTACTTATGTTTTGGTCCAGCCAAAGAGTCTCTCCGAATTCACATTACCTATGTTCATGTACCTCGCGAGCATGGTAGTAGTCCTTCTCATATTCGCGTTCATAATCATACCATGTTTGGTACTTTATGGATGGTTAATGACACTTCTGCAAAGGCGAGACTAGGACGTTCCAAACTCATTCTACGAATAAGGACGATTCTACGATCAACATAATTGAGGAAAGACACAATCATGAACAGAGATTATAATGTACATTGACCAATCGATTTTGTACATCTACTTTTGATTATTTAGAAATAAATTACTTTATAACAATTTCAATTTTTTAGAATTAATTATAAGTTTATTGAAGAAAATATTCAAGAATATATTACGCGGTCAAAACCATAGTTAACGTGATACTACGAGAGGCATTGAAAAAAATGTGGTTCGATCTACCGACGATCGTGAAGATACCCGCGTCCTGCACCAGAGAGGTAATATTCGTTGGCAAAATTGTAAAGCCAAGACGAAAGTAGGGCGATTTAGCTAACTCAAGGAGACTGGACAAAAGCGAGAAATTTTTCGTAAATTCATGACTACGATAAATAATATAAACAATGGATAATTTTTTTTCTTAAAAAAAGATTTTAGTAGTGTACTGTTTGCCTCAGAACAAATTGATGTGCTTTTGAACATAATATTTTTTTCAAGACTTTGGCTCTTCACGCCCGACGTAATATTTTTTGCAAGGCTTTTGGCTCTTCACACCCCACTAATATTCGTTTTGAAAATTGCACAGCTTGTGTTTTTGGTGGTCGTCGCTATTGTATTTTTAATGACCTTTGGCTGGTAATTCATAAATGTTTTAAGTAGTACGATAAATATCGCTTTTTTACCCAGAGTAAAGAAGGTCCGTCAATGGCAGAGATAATAATTTATGGTGTAAATCGGTTATAATGAACTGAAAGGGATCGACAAGTGTTGCTTGTGGAATCTAATTATCTACAAAAAAATATTCAGCATCAAATTTTTTGTTTTTTAGTATTATAATTGTACGTTTATTGTGAAAAATATTAAAGAATTAATGTTTATTTCGTTATTTCACATAGCTTTAATATAATGATTACATGATGACTTAATTATTAAACGTAGAAATAACTTAACAAAGTATTTGTTTACAATATTTACAATATATTACAAAATTTTACAGTTTTATCAATTTGACCAACATTTAAACAAGGTAACTATTTGAATTTATATTAATTAATCTTCTATCTGTAATTTCCAAGCCATGATTGTATTTGAATATATGTGCGATGAATTTGCTGGATCGTACGCAACTTATCCAACCCGGTTAATTCTCTATTGGGAAACAGCTCTTGAACGATGTTGAGACCAATATTGACGATTTCTGCATCATCCGAATATTTGTTGTAAAATTTCTCTGCATAAGGAACTAAATGGCTCTTTTTTATCAATTTTCTCACAAGCATATTTTTCCCACGGTTATTGAAGTAAAAAGTCGTGTCACATCCCGAAAAAGCATGCAAAAATAATATAATGTTCTGCATCCCGGGATGAATGAAACTGTTTGCATCGAACGCTTGAAACTTGAAACCGTTGCCTTGTCTGAGCATGAAAATATTGTCCAGATTTTGTGCTTTCGCAGCGAAGACCACAAGTAAGTCTATGTCTTCTCCGACTATCCAAGTCTTGTACTTTTTATTGACTTTTTGAATGGCTGCTTCGACGATCTGCAACGTTCCCTCTCCTTTCACAAATTTCGTTCGAAAATTGTATCTGTGCAGTTCTTTTCGTATCAATTGAACCAAGTGGATTCTGTCGGCGGCTTTGCTATGAAATATCTTCTCGCTTGTGAAAATCGTACTGCTCTCGTCGAAATCTGCTTCGTGGTCTACATTTTCGACGTAATCATTGAATATTATTAAACAATTACCCTTATAGTGTTCTTTAACGTAGTGAACATATGTTTTAATCAATGTATCGACGGACATTTTCTTATTCCAGCAAAACTTGTATAATAAAGTGGTTCCGTCAATTACGAAATAATCGTTGGATTCTGGTGCAACTTTTACTGGCATAAAATTAGAGTAAAATTCTTCTTTAGTATGAGTTCTAACTTCACTTGTATCGAAGAGAAATGATGGTTTAGCAGATGAAACTTCAACTTCTTCAAAATTTTTGACGCGATCTTTTAGTTGCTGAAGCTGTATCTGTAAAAGCGACACTTTATCTTGCACGCACTTTTCTAGTTTTTCATTTTCTTCTTTAATTAATTTATTTATAGTCAACCTTTGTTCTTGACGGAACTTTTTCGAGGGAGTTTTTTTCGCTTTGAAGCGTTGGAATAGTTTCCTCAACCACGTGAAAACCATGATTAGTTTATTATTTACTAATACTTAGCAAATTTTGAAAACACTGAAAAAGTAACCGCACTTAATCGGGCCTCGATGTTCACTTTACAAAATCGTGTTCACAAATGACTTTTCCGGTTTTGGAAACTATATATATCTGTAGGTGAATATATATCTGTGGTAGGGTGGGACTGGGTTTATCTCAAAAATCCCCACTCTAGGCAATGCCATTAAAAAACGATCGAAGGATTAAATCTGGTTATCTTCAAATTCTTACGAAGTACTATGAATATCTTATGAACAGGTAAACTGATAAGTCGGATTAGTGGCGTTGCGTTGTATAATTTTTTCTATTGCTGGGTGATTTTTAAAATTTTATATAATCAGCATTGTTCAAAAGTAACGTAAATATTTAGCACGCATTCGGAAGATCAACAGGTAATAATTAATAATTTTTCTTATTTATTTTAACTTCTCAGCTTATTGATTTCTCTACCGTGACTAGTAGTAATAACAATAAAATTTATTGAGGTAATGATGCAGTCAATAAATTATCAAAAATGAAAAAAAGCATTACAGTAAAAATTGCATCATCTTCGCTTTGGATAGTTTTCTCGAAATATTTTGAGAAATGGAAAAATTAAATAATAAATTTTCACGAGGTCAATAAAAAATGGAGTTTAATTGACTGAAATAAATTTGAATCTATAATATTAATTCTTATCGAATGATTTCTTACTCTGCATTTTTTTCATAAGTCGGCGCAAAAAAGATCAACGTTATATTAGAACTAGATTGTTCTGGCTGCCACATAGCTAAGATAACTGAAGTATCAATCCAAGCTTTGAGGTCAATTTTCAGGTAATATATTCTAGTTTATCACACAAATTATAGCCGTGCCTTGCATAATTATTTACGTAAATTTCATGTTAACTGAATGCGCGGTACGATATGCAAACACCTCATTTCGGTATATTTTACACACGTTTTGAATATTCGAATGGTCACGTTTCCGAATGAACAGGTATTTTTTCCATTGAAAAGTTATCTCGATTTGGGAATGACATTGATGATACGATGTAAAAGCAGGTAAGATGCTGACGGATCGTTTTTTAATGATTATTGATAAAGCCGTTGTCTTTAAAGAGACACAAATCAGATTCGTGGCTTTCACTTCGTTGTAATGCCTTAAGACTTTCAAAAATATAAGGCGGGATATTTGATATTTCATTCTTTGAATAAAATACATTCGATCGAAGCCCCGTATTTTGCTTATCAACCAACAACGCCCCGCATGATTACATTGTAAAACGCATTCAAATTTATTTAAAAAATAATCATTTTTATTTGAATTTTTTGGGAAAACACCAAGTTCGATAAGATCATAGTAATTTTTTCGGATGTATGTTTCTCTGTGCGCGCTATACGCTCATTCCCGAAAAATAAGTCACAGTGACTGCAGTCGCGAGGCGCGAACGACGAGCGCAATATGTAAATTATCTTGCGCGCGCTCGTGTGAAAATATTTGACGCAAGTTCGCCAATATGATATTATTATTACGAGGAGAGCATCGATAATTTATACGAGGTAAACAAAGCCACATAATTAGTTTATCAGCGATTGTGAACATACATCTCGTCTCTCTCTGTCTCTCTTCCACATTTGCATTCGGCAAACACGTCATTTATTTGCGTTGAAATATCCTATATACGTAACGCATATAATTAGCTAAAATAATTCATTTCTACCCTCTACCCTCGCAATCGCTCGCTTTCTCATTCCATTGCACTCTTGCGGCATATAACGATGGTTGATTTTCGCGTTTTCTTCATTCATTTGAGCTCCGATGCTTTGATGTCGCTCGCGATCGAATCGGCCGCTTGCTTCAATCGTCGAAATTTCTTTCATATCGCGCAAGTGCATGCGGCTGTATAATTTCTCGAAAAAAAAGTTTTATCGATTGCAATTTCAAATAAATAATGTAGAACTTTTTTATATGGTACGAGTACGCTCGAGCTGGGCTCGATTAATCAAGATTCCACGCTTGGGAGAAATTACGAACATCAAGTGTGTTACACGTACGGTAAACGAAGAAAACACGGTTTGGTGGGCAAGAAATTGCAATATAAAGCGCATCTGTTCGACAGAGGATCGACTGCGATGCAGCTACCACCCTTGCGCGCACACACACACACACACACGGTAAATACGGAGAGTGAGCGAGTGCAAGGCAAGCATCGTCCTAGTAGTACGCATAAGCGCAAGCGAAGGAAATTGCTCGATTTGAATATTAGCTCTTAGCGTGTTCGAATGTGTGCCGGTGGTGTACATATATTATATGCGTTTGCGCGCGCTCGGGGGAGTACAGAGTACAGAGATAGAGAGTAAGTACATTATTGTTCGCGCTTCAAGTACGAAACGCGGCGCGCGCGCGCGGGTGGATATGTATGGGTTTTTGATTAGCTGAGCCAAGCGGGCACTTTGTACTGCGCGCACACACATACACACTACGGCAAAGCCTTGGCAATACATATTATGCAGCATACTGCACATACGTGGCGCCGCTGCTGCTGCTGCTACTCTCGAGCTGGTATATAGAGCGCCGTTTAATTTTCCATGCCTTGCTAGACTACCAGAGGCCTTGATTTACGAGAGTCATATTCTTGTTCTCTCTCTCGTCCCACTTCCTCTCTCTCTCTCTCGCTCTGTTGTTATATTGCATTCTGGTATGCATTTGCTATGAGCGCGGCCTCGCGAGCTATTCCTCGGTGCGGCTTTTGCTCTCCTATCCGAAGCTCGCGCTTATCTGCCGCTCGATTGGTTAGATTTGTTTATGAGATTACTCTGTGTATAGCATTGCTCTCTATACCTATATACACACATGTACCTGCGCCCGGACTCTCCGAGTATAGGGCACACAAGTGCGATGTCGGGCAAAAAGATTTGTATTATGCATCTTGACCATCGCTATATGTATATGCGCTTTCAATAGAGAATGTTTTATCCGACGAATCTTTAATGGATTAGCTTGTTCAATATAAAATCACGATTTTAGAAGTCGACGACATAATGAAAAATGAATTAGGCTGCATCGGTCGATTGTTTTTCTCGACGCCGTTTTTTTTGATTAAATTGCTCCAAGACCGATTTGTGTACGCGATTTTTTGATTAATTAATTCCGATTCCAGTTGCTCGAGTCAGTCACAGCTGTACACGATGAAAAAGAACGATGAAAAAGCATCGGTGGTGTACCACGGAGAATTACAAAAATGGCAGATAACGAAAGAATAATTTCGCCAGTAGCAATTAGGAAAGAGTCGGGAATCGAAAGATCGAAGCCGTGGTTAAAATATAAAGCGTTGCTGCGGCTGCTTGCCCCGAGTATATATAACATCAGTTCAGCAGTTAAAAATGCGTAATCAGAGAGGTACACGGCGAGAAACCCTTGCGAGTAGAGAGCCAGTCCGCGAGATGTAGCGTCGGCGAGGTTTTACCAGTGTGAGTATAAGCGCGTAAGGTATAAATAAAAGCAGCAACGGCACAGGTGGCGCGAAATTTTTAATTAAAACAATTTCCATAGAAAGAAAAGCCTACGTATACGCGCGTATAGGCAGCTCGC